CCGACAAAGATGTTAATCAGCACCAGTCCAATACCAGTCCCTGAGGGATGCCACTCGTCGCTGTTCTCCACTCAGTCACTGAGCCATTGACCACAATGCTTTGAGTGCAACCAGCCAACTAGGTCCTTATCTACTGAGCACTCCATCCATCAAATCCATGCCTCTCCAATTTAGAGACAAGGATGTCATGTGGGGCAGTGTCAAACGCTTTGCACATCTCCAGGTAGTTGACATCAATTGCTCTTCCCTTGTCCACCAACACTATAACCCTGTCATAGAAGGCCACCAAATTTTGCAGGTACAATCTTCCCTTGGTGAATCCATGCTGGCTGTCACCAATCACCTCCTCATTCTCCATGTGTCTTGGCATGGTTTCCATGAGGCTCTGCTCCATGATCTTGCCAGGCACAGAGGTGAGACTGACTGGCCTGTAGTACCCTGGATCCTCCCTTTTTCACTTTTTAAAGATGGGGACTATGTTTCCCCTTTTCAATTCTGTCCAGGCTTTAGCTTTCCTAACCTGATCCCTGTCTTTTTGGACAATTTCTCCTTACTCCTCCCAGGCTACCTGTCCCTGCTTCCACCCACTGTAGGCTTCCTTTTTGTGCTCCAGTTTCTCCAGGAGCTGTTTTTCACCCACACAGGCCTCCTGGCACTTTTACCCAAGTTCCTCTTCATTGGGATCCATTGCTCCTGAGCGTGGACAAGATCCTTGAGTACTTTCCAGCTTTCTTGGGCGCCACTTCCCTCCAGGGCTTCATCCCATGGAACTCTGCCAATCAGTTCCCTGAAGAGGCTAAAGTCTCCTCTCCTGAAGTCTAGGGTAGTGAGCTTGCTGTGCACACTCCTCATCTCTGTAAGGATCTCAAAGTCCACTATTCCATGGTCGCTGCAGCCAAGGCTGCCCTTGAGCTTCACATCTCCCACCAGCCCCTCCCTGTTGGTGAGAACAAGGTCCAGCATGGCTCCCCTCCTTGTCAGCTCCTCTATCACTTGGATAAGGAAGTTGTCATTGGCACATTCCAGGAATCTCCTGGCTTGCTTGTGCCCTGCCATGTTGTCCCTCCAACAGATATCAGGGTGGTTGAAGTCCCCCATGAGGACCAGGGTATGTGACCATGAGGCTGTTGTTATCTGTCTGTAGAGGGCCTCATCCACTCGCTCATCCTGGCCAGGTGGCCTGTAGTAAACACCTACTACTGTATCTCCTCTTCCTGCCCTCCCTTTAATCCTAATCCATAAACTCTCGGTCAGCTCCTCATCCATCCCCAGGTGGAGTTCCACACACTCCAACTGGTCTCTGACATAGAGAGCAATCACCCCCCTCATGTCTCCCTGCCTGTCCTTCCTAAAGAGCCTGTATCCTTCCATTCTGACACTCCAGTCATAGGAACCATCCCACCACGTCTCCATGATGTCAATGAGGTCAGAGCCCCTTGCTCAAGTGCACACCTCCAGATCCTCTTGTTCATTTCCCATGCTCCGTGCGTTCGCATAGAGGCATTTGAGGTCGGCCCCCGATGAAGTTGGCGTGCGGACTGGAGCATCTAGTATCGTCTTGTGTTGTTATCCACCTTGTATATCAAGGTGTATTTGGTCTGTTTTATTTTTATTTTTGGGAGAGGTTGTGTCCTCCTCTGCCTCTTTGCAAACAGCATTTTTGAATGATCTTTCATTGTGGTAGCACTTAAATTGAATTTGTAATTTGTTAATCAGCTGTGGGACCTGTCTGAAGAAGGTCATGGCTGAAAGCAGGGAGTGTGTTCATATAGATTTTCCAGGGTGAAATAGATTTTTTTCCAACTGAGATCTCAGGATAAGATTGTCTCTAAACAGTCATAGCAGTGGGACATACAGGATGTTTTTGATTTTATGTTCATATTTCAAATACTCTAGGAAATGTTTGATATTTGTGGGCTTTTTTTCCAAGGTAGCCAGACGTTACAATGAGTCCCTTATTTATAAACTTACTGATGGATATAAGGAATCTGTAATCTGTCAAGGAGAATACATAAGTTACTGCATTTCAAGGAAAATAGGCAATGCTTCTTTTAATATTCTGGTTTCTCTTCCAGACAGCCTTCTTCACACCACATCCCAGGATTCCTGTAAGTAACATCTCTAATAAACATGACCTCTTGCTTATTGCCTATTGTATTGGATAGGTGTACAGCACCTTAGTTTTTTCCCTGTTACTTAAATGCTTACAGTACAGAGCTCAGTGTTCGTCTGTGTCTAGCCAAATTCACCATTGTGAATTCACCATTTCCTGGTGACAGCAGCACCCCAGCCAGCTGTGGCTGGGACACAGATGTATGCTGTCCCAGCCTCTTAGATGAAAAATCCTTGCAGGATATAGTGTGAAATATCTGTCATTGTATAGGATCACACCATTGGTATGTGAATAAGCTTGTTAAGGATTTGGACATTTTACAGTATGCATTAATGACAGAGGTAGGCCGTAAGAGTGCCATTAGGAAAGAAGGTGTATATGCCAGGCTCTTCAGAGGCTGAGGAAGGAAAGAGGAATTTGGAGCACTACTGGAAATTGAGACCATATTTCTTTGTTCACTTCTTCCCTTGACTGGTAGTTTGTTTATATACATACTAAGGAATTACGCAGAAAAATCACGTTGTGCGTGGTCTTTGTAGTGCTACAATCACAGAAAGAGTTTTTCTTTTGCTTTGAGTGCATTGCTCTTGTAAATGAGTTGCAAGACAGTAAAGAATAAAAGGCTTGAAGTGTGTCAGCAGGTCAGATCACAGGTATTTCTCCCTGTGCAAGATGAATGTGATGATACTTAGTGTAGCACAGGTCTACACATAGCTTGCAAGCTTTGGGGGCAGAAGGTGAGATAAGGGTAGTTACCTTTGATTTACAGCTCTACAAATTAAGGTGTCAGAAGGTGGTGATAAGCCTTAGGAGAGTGTCACGTGTTATGTTACAGGAGCTGCAGGACCAGCAGGGTGCTGAAAGCTGTCACACTCTCTCCAAAACACACCACTTCATTGCTTTCCATTGAGTATGTGGTGTATATACCAAGGAGCAACTTATACAGGCTGGACAGAAGGCAGCACCATCACTCTATTTAGTTATTATTAGCTAAAATCAATTTCACTTAAACTCCACTTTAGTAATTGTTAGAAATACAAAAGCTGACCAAGTGATTCTAAGCTCCCATCTACCCACCACCACAGCTGTGTTGTGTGGTTTGGGCGCTGTGAGCTCTGCAGACACTTGCTAATGCAGCAGGGCAGTAGAAGAGGGGGTCAGTTTAGTTTCTTCCATGGCTGCAAGGAACCTTTTCATGTTTATTTGGCCCAGTGAGTTACAATTATTGACTATTTCTTGGAGATAGGGTGTGTGAGAACTACGGTGGTGGGCAGGTGTGATGTCTGGGAAGAGGCAAAAGCAGTAAAACGGGATGGCTCCTCACTTTGATTTCTGTCTCCCACTGCAGCAGGGCACAGCTGAGCCCCCACTGCGTTTGCTCTCCTTTCAGTGTCACAGAAATGACTAAGGCGTTAATTGAGACTACAGGAGGACACCGCTGAGAGCAGGTCAAGGAAGCTGTAAGCACTGATCTGGCTCTGGTTGGTAGCAGCTGTTAGCTGTCACCACCTCATTTCTGTTCATTGAACTGTAGGAAAGAAGTGGGTGGCAGTGGATTAAGTCCAGCTGCTGGGGGCAGAGGTCTCCACGACATGCAGCACTAGCAGGCAGTGTTAGCAGGCTCAGCAGATAGTTGTGGGTTCGGCAAGCCTGGAAGGACTCACAAGCAGATTTGCTGGCAGATTGAGTTAAGAAATGCTGCCTCTACCCATGTTTGTGGCTGTACAAGGGCATTAGACTGGAATTTTTCCAATTTTGCATTAGCATGCCAAGTCAAGTATCACGGAAAAAGTGGGAGAAGGGAGGATATTTGAAAAGCTTCCATTGTGTTACTTCTTCCCTTTGCAGTCTTGTTTTCCCTGGTAAAATGTGCCCTTATTTCCACCCTGTAACACCATCCCTGCTTAGAAATTTATTGCCGTATGCCTGAGCTTCGTTGCTTTGCTTTCTCAAAAGGGTTTCAGAGCTTGAAACGTCATTACGCAAAACAACTTCCAGGCACAACCATACAGGTTTGCTGCATAACACCCTTTGCTTGAGCTACTTTAGGTGATCTCGTTATCTTTCGGAAGGCCACTAGATGGCATAAGGGACTGCCTGATTAAAAGTTCATCTAAAGGGGTGCTACTAGTAGAATACAGTTCCTCCTTTTATTTATAACAGATGAGAACATTTATTCACGATGCATAATAAATACAGACATAAGTAATATTTATGCAGTTCCATTTATTTTGTGTGTTAAAGATTCATTTGCAAATGGACTTTGAATTCCCAGGTGTTGCAGAAATGATTGCCAAATAGCTGATGCGAATAAAATTCAAGCTGATTTGTCTTGGGCTCTGCATTTAAGCTGATCACTATTCCTTGCGTGTGTGTAGCTCAAATCACTGGTGTTCTTACTCTGCCTTGATTGCATAATTGAAACACCTTGTGTGATAAATAATGAATAAGTAATGATTGCTGTTGCCTGAATACATATGTTCATATAAATATACAAATGTGAGTATTCATGTAGCGCCTGGTTTATTTCAGCTAGTTCCATAATCGTGTGCTGTTCTTTTTCAATTTATAAAAAGCAGAAATATGGACTTATTGATTATTCTTCTAGAGCTCAGAACAAAGCTGATGAACTGTCTGAAAGCATCTCCAATTTACTGTAAGGAGGAAGAACAGGAATAAAGTAATCCTATTAGTGATGGTGGTGCATGAAATAATGTATTGACATCACAGGAGGGAGGGGAAGTTGCAAGGATGTATGGAGATATTAGAACTAGAGATCAGGAAAAGCTGCGTAGTACACATCTCTGGAAGTGGTTAAGATGAAACCCTGAACACTGTTTTCTTATAGGCGGAATAGGGAACTGTCTGCATATGGGATAATTTCCCCAGTTGTAGGAAATTGGTCTGTGTAGGAAGCATAGGTCTGTGGTCCTACAGAGAGGCAGTGCAGTGTCACTGGTGCTTTTGCTCTTGGTTATATCATCTGGCCTTTTCAGATTCTGATCAATTGAAGCTGAATTGATCAGATTTTGGAAAGGTAAATTCTTTAACTACTGTTCTCTCTGAGGGAAAACTGTTCTCTTTTTGAACTGAATACTTTTGCAATTGTTGTCATAATGGTCCAAGAAGTCTAGACAAAGATCTCCAAATCTTAGTGTGTAATATCATAGTTTTGATTCATTGACCTCAAAGTCCTTTGAGGAATCTACTCTATATTAGAAATTGATATCTGATTGAAAGAGCCCTCTTACAAAACAGTACTAGTGTCATATACAGCCATGGAAATAGCTTTTATTTCTCTCTTTGTCTTACTGTTTTATATCAGGGCGAACCTGGACCAAAAGGGGAGAAAGGAGATCAAGGAACGAGTGGAGAACCTGTAAGCACAGCCAAGTGTTTCTTCAGTTGGTTTTGAACTTCAGCAGGGAGAAGACATGAGAGCTGCCTGTTTGGAGGGAGGTGGGGGGACATGCTTCTTCCATAGCTAGGATGCTTCTGGTATTGGAAATGGCCATACTGGTGCTTGGCTTTGTACTGACTGTAGAGGAAACTATGTGACTACATGAATTTAAGCACCTAATTTATAGCTCTGGGCCTTAGTGGCTGGAAAGAAGACCATGGGGTTTGCTTGACAGAGCTTGGCTGACAGGAAGGTTGTACAGGATTTATTAAGGGCTTTTGAAGTGATGTGACCCAGCTAAACTGTGCATTTGGCTACTCCCTTTGTATTCTTGACTGCTCTTGTTCTGGATGGAGCCCCCAGGAGACAGAGAGTCCTGTGTAGTCACAGCCTCTGTAAAAACCAGCCTTTCTTCTCTCAGTGGGAGGAAAGAGAAAACTCGTTCTGCTCAGGAGAAGAAAGGAGCAGTTTCCTTCAGCTCCTTTACCTCTCCCTCTCTTTTTGCAGGGATTACCTGGGGTCCCAGGTGAACAAGGTGTCCCAGGACCTGCAGGAGTACAGGTAAGAGGGCCCAGCCTTGAAGAAAATCTTTGATATAATGAGAGAGGGGTGCCTTCAAGGTCTGTATCACTGTAAATAATTCTTCCTCTATACACCAACAGCTAATTTCTCCTTCCTCAATGTTGTAAGTTCAGGGACTTCTGCAGAGGTATTTATTTTTACTTGCCATAAGGACAACATGAGGAAAATCAAAACAGAAACACGGTGTCTCTGTAGCATGATCAGTATTGTCTGAGAGGCTTCTTCCAACTTCAGTATCCTTCAAGAGGGCATCTTGTATTGATGCCACAGAACCACAGGTCTCACACACAAGTTACTGCAGTACATTAGCAAAACATTGTAGAGCATTTAGACTCAATTCCAGTCCATTTGACCCTGAATGCATTATGGCTTGTGTGAAATGGTTTTATAGTCTCAATTATCTTCTCAAAATTTCTTGGCTCACACATATTTTTTCCAGTCATCACCTGGGTATATTTTCATGTCAGCTTGGGAGGGTGTTCACTCTGCCATCATCTATGCTGTGCCCAAGCCATATAGTCAGCTATTACTTAGGCATCAACAGCTTAAACAAGTTAACAGCAGTCTTAACATTATGGAAAAACAGTAGTACCATGCAACTTTTAACTAACATCTGCTAAATGGGGGACTGTTCAGTGAGTGGATTCTGTCCTGCCAAAATCCTTAAGAAAGGGCTATGTGGTATCTAGGACTGGGATAAACCCTCTGGACTGTGATCTATTTTGACCATTTCCAAATGTGTGTTGTTTGTATTTGAGAACTGCAGGCAAGACTTCCTCTGTGCAGGGAGACCATCAGAGTTGAGCTGGAAATGAAGCAGCTGGTAGGCCTGAGGATAGGAAGGAGTTTCACCCAGATGAATGCCTGGAAGTTTCAGCATCCTGTGCTGTGAAACAGCCTCTGAGCTGATCAGTCATTAGTGATTCTTCTTATGTCTCAGGGTTTTCTTTTTCTATTTCATTTTCTCACTGCATGGAGAACTGTGAGCCATTTCCTCAGCTGTTAAACTCCTCTGTGAATTGATTAACAAAAACCATTGCCTAGTGCACGTTCAAGCATCTTAAAGTCTTTTTGTCTGGCAGGCAGTCCTATCCCACGTCTAATCAACTGGTATCTCTCTTCTTTCTGCACAGGGCACAAAGGGACAGAAAGGAGCCCGAGGTGAAGCCGGAGCTCCTGGAGAGACTGTGAGTAACTGCTTTCCTTGCAGCAGTTTTCCCTGATAGCAACACATCTGAAGGGACTCTGAAGTCAGTGCCTTGCAGATTCACAGTCCCAAGCTGCTTGGGTGGAGGACACATCCTAAACTGCAGCTGGAAGAGTTGCTGCTTGTGGGCAAACAGGCACAGCTGCACCAAACAGATCAATGCCCCAATCAGCCCAGCTCTAAATTGTGCATCTTTTGTTTGCCAAGTCTCCCCCTCTCTAACAAAATGCCCTCTTTTCTGGGTGAGGTGCAGGCAGAGCTTGTTACTGCACTGTGATATCAGCCAAGCCCAGGCAGCCAGCTGGTGCAGGAAGCTCACTTCCCATCAACAGCCTGAATTAGCTTTTGGTCATGGCTAGTTTTTAGGCTTCTTAGTCAATTTTGATATCTTTAATACAGGCTCATCACCAAACGAATCATCCCATACCACTTTTTCAGGCATGTGTCATAGGGAGTGTTGCTATTGTCTGACTGTGTGCTAAAGAACACCAGAGGATTCAAGTCCTGTTTTATTATTGTGAGAGCGTATAAGCCCTTTGCAGCTGAATAAAAGGCCACATACTGTCTTTGCAAGCAGAGAAGGAAGACTGGAGAACTATTTGAAGTAACAGTTGAGAGAGAGAATGTTTGTGTCTGGGAGAATGAGGAAATAGGAAATGCTCAAATTAAGCATCCTAGAGCACTGAAATCTCTTGTTCCACCTTTGTGTGCATGGTTCCTTCTTGGACTTGTGCTTAGACATTGTCTCTAGCAGTGCTTTGACCCTAAAGTCTGAACTTCCTGGCCCCAGCAATCTTTCACTCTCGATTGAAGGACTCCTTAATCTTTTTTGGGAGAAAAAGAGAAAAAAAAGGCAAAAAATGTACCCCTCCACCAAACCTATCCATTTGGTTTATTCCTTTGTATAACCTGGTAGCTTGGAGGATGCCAGTGATATGGAAATGCAAGCATATGCAGGCACCCTTCTTTTTACATCCTTTCACAGACTGCCACTGCTCCAAGTGTTTCTATTGGCTTGTAGACTAGTGACTGTAAATAACACAGAAATGAGGAAGCCTTTAATTCTCTTTTAGTAGGCCAAAGGCAACCGACAGACAGTCACTTTCTGAAGAGCTGTGCTGTGAAAAATTTTCATCATCTCCCAGCGGTTTGCATTGTCCTATATGATACTACTGCCCGGCCTTTCCAGCAGATTGGATTCTCTGTACTGTACTCCAAGACAGACAGATTATTAGCCCCATCCCTGCAGGTGTTCAAGGCCAGGCTGGATGTGGCTTGGAGCAACCTGGTCTAGTGGAAGGTGTCCCTGCCCATGGCAGGGGGGTTGGAACTAGATGATCTTTAAGGTCCCTTCCAACCCTAACCATTCTATGATTCTGTTTTAGTCTGATGATGAAGATAGTTTTAGATAGCCTGTCTGGTTTAGCCCTAAACAGATTAGGCATGATAACAAAAATCTTTTTACTTGCAAAACTGATGACAGGTGAACGCTGGCCAGTGCAGGCTCACAGGCAACTACAGAGGTAGCAACTTCAACTTGATATGGTCAGGTATAGAAGAAAATGTCTAAATATAGTCTGATAACCCCAAACATATATCTCTATAGGGACATAAATCCCAAAACATATGTCCTCTCATGGGCCCCATGCATTTTCAGTGACACACATGGGCTTTCCCACCCGAAAATCTTTCATTTGCAGACAGAAAATACCTGCAATTGAAAGCTATAACAGTCTGTATGATTTGAGCTGTTAATCTATTTAGCACAAATGAGTGTTTTCAGGTGTTGTTACCCAGAGTAGAGAAGGGTAGAATTGTCAACAAAGCACATTTTGTTGACCTAGATTTTTATTTTAATGATAAAAAAACATATTTTGCTCTGTTCTTTTGATGTCTCAGGCCCAGACTTTTCCCCCTGTATCTCAGCTAGACTTAGGATTTATTTTGATGGACTGTAATTTTAAGCTCCCGAAGAGAGTCTTCATCCGTTTTGTATTGTTTCATGCTTCTTTACACTACAAAGTGTTTCACAAAAATGCTATTTTTCGTTTTGTGCTTGTACAACACCTTGTCTGACATGAACTCCAGTCTCACTTGGAACATCCTGTTCCTGTGGTAGTACAAGTTGTGAATTATATATGCAGACATATTGCATTTTCTTAAAACAGGGTGTGACTGGACCAGCAGGGCCTCCAGGTCCAAGAGGCTTGCCAGGAAATGTGGTATGTATCCACCAGTGTATTTGGTTTCCCATCTGTGCTCTGATTTCTTTATTTATTATGTTTAGTTTTCCCTTCTGCAGGGTTTACTATCAGGTTCGAAAGTCTGTGATTCACAACCCTTTTTTATGGTTGAACTGAAAGATCTGGAGCCACCTAGGAATGGTATATCAATAAAATATATTCTTATATTCATTAGTAGCAAGAGGAAGGTATGGAGCTGCTTCTTTCCTCACCAAATTGTCAAAAGCAATTTTTGCTGCCAGCTCTTCAACAGAAAAATTGCAATTTTTATTGTCTCTCTGGTTTTGTTTCCTCTGTCTCATTTTCATTTATCCTTTCCTTTTGAAAACATGTCTTACTTGATATAAAAATTGCATAGTAAACTCCCATTTTTATTAGAAAAGCATGTAAGTATTTGATCCTACAGTCAGAGCCTAGAAATCAGTAGGGTGTCCTCCTTACTTCCGGAGATGTTCCTCACCATAATTAAGTTGTGCATGATACATCTTTTCATGTTTGCAAAAAAAACCTTTGGACTAACTCTACTTCCTGCTCCACTAGTGATTTTCTTTCTAATCCCTGGGGTTTCTCTGGGTTTACACCAGAGTAAGTGAAAAACAACAGTTTGACCCCATGTTATGATGTACTGTTGCACAGTCGTTTAGCATGGAGGGCGCTTTAAGGTGGAGTTTATTACCTGGGCAGTCCAACAAATCTTAAGTTGCCTTTCTACTACTTGTTAAGGTAAATTTAATTTAATTGTATTAATGTAGTGATTTAATTGCAAACTGAAAGATGTTAAAAAAATGAAGACCTTTTCCAATATAATATTCTTTTAAGCAAACTTTTATACCAGTAGTACCAATATATTACCTCTCAAGGCTAATATAGTTGGAAATAATTTTTGCTGGTGTAAAAACTAAAATAATTATCACATCCATCCTATGAGGAGGTCAATTCAATCTTATCGGTACCAAGACATCATTTCACATCTTAAAATGCAGTACCACTCCATACTGCTAACTCATGTTTTGGTGAGTTAGAAAGTTACAGTATTTCATCTGGAGCTCTAAATCATCTATATTTTGACAAAAAATCCTTTAAGATCTGCCAAGACATGAAAAGGATTGAAAACTGAAGTAGAGTGTAAAATGGACATAGCTGTTTTCCAGTGCATAGCTTTGGAGAGCAGTAACCATAAAAAATTAACATTGTGAAACTTTTGGCTTTTCAGATACAGAGGTGATGATTTGGTCTTTGTTGGTAATGGAATGGTAACTGCTGAAGATTTCAGAGAATAAAAAATATAGTTATTAGTAGAAAGAGAATGCAAAATCTGGGATTAGCTCAATGTCACAGAATCATAGAACGGTTTGGGTTGGAAGGAACCTTAAAGATCATCTTGTTCCAACCCCCCTGCCATGGGCAGGGACACCCTCCACTAGACCAGGTTGCTAATTTCTGCTTTTGCTGTTCAGCGCTTTTTTATATTGAAAAAAACCTTCCATTAAGCACTTGGTACACGGCTTTTCTGTGGTGTTCTCTGCACTACAGGTTACCTGTACTGGGAAATGTAACACTGATGCTAATTCTTGAGGTAGATTGTAGTGAACCCACAGGTCTACCCATTTGCTTTAGGATCAAATACTGCCTAAAAAGAAAGTTTTAATTGTTAAAGTTCTTTTATTTCCAGGGTGTGCCTGGTGACCCGGGACTACCAGGAAAGGAGGGAGCAAAGGGGGAGAAGGTGAGTTTGTTCTTTCATGGATTCGTTTCTTTTCTTCTTGTGCTTTTTAAGTAACCTGGCAAAGAAGCAGTCTGAACTGGGAAATGATTTCATAAGCTGGTGGGTAGTTAAGACACATGAGTTTATTAGATCATCTTGTCTGACCTCCTCCATTAAACATGTGATAAGGTTTTCACCCCATTGCAGCTTTGTGATATGCCTAATAAAACCCCTGAGATAAATTAGATACAGGGAAGTCACTGCTACACATTTATGCAATTATTGTCTTCTACTGTTCTCAATGCTTGACAAGAGGGGGCATCCCACAGCATTCTCCTGGAGAAAGAGGCTGCTCATGGCTTGGATGGGTGTATTCTTCACTGGGTAAAAAAAATGGCTGGATGGCCGGGCCCAAAGAGTTGTCGTGAATGGAGTTAAATCCAGTTGATTGTTGGCCACAAGTGGTGTTCCCTGGAGTTCACTATTGGGGCCAGTTTTGTTTAATATCTTTATCAATAATCTGGGTGAGAGGATTGAATGCACCCTCAGGAATTTTGCAGATGACAGCAAGTTGAGTGGGAGTGTTGATCTGCCTGAGGAGAGTAGGAAGACTCTGCAGAGGGATCTGTCCAGGCTGCATCAATGGGCTGAGGCTAACTGTATGAAATTCAACAAGGTCCTGTACTTGGGCCACAACAACCCCATGCAATGCTACAAGCTTGGGGATGTGTGGCTGGAAAGCTGTCTGGAAGAAAAGGACCTGGGGGGTGTTGGTTAACATCCAGCTGCATATGAGCCAGCAGTGTGTCCAGGTAGCCAAGAATGCCAGTGGCATCCTGGCCTGCATCAGGAACAGTATGACCAGCAGGACCAGGGCAGTGATTGTCCCTCTGTACTTGGCACTAGTGAGCCTTAACTTGAATCCTGTCTTCAGTTTTGGGGCCCTAGCTACAAGAAAGATATTGAGGTGTTGGACCGTGTCCAGAGAAGAGCAACCGAGCTGGTGAAGGTTCTGGAGCACAAGTCCTGTGAGGAGTGTCTGAGGGAGCTGGGGTTGTTCAGCCTGGAGAAGCAGCTCAGGGGAGACTTTATCGCTGTCTGCAACTACCCTAAAGGAAGTTGCAGACAGGTGGTTGTTGGTCTCTTCTCCCAAGTGACAAGTGATAAGATAAAAGGAAATGGCTTCAAGTTGCACCAGTCAGGGTTTAGAGTGGATATTAGGAAAAGTTCCTTCACTGAAAGGGTTTTCAGGCATTGAAACGGGCTGCCCAGGCTGGTGGTTGAGTCAACATTCCTGGAGGTATTTAAGAGAGATATGGATAAAGTGCTGAAGGACATGGTTTAGTGCTGGTATTAGCAGTGTTAGGCTAATGGTTGGACTTGATGCTCTTAAAGGTCTTCCAACCTAAAAGATTCTATGATTTTGAGGTTTTAAGTTCCTCCTGTTTGCCACTGTAAATCCAGAGCTGGAAGAAAAATTGGCTTTCATTATTAGGAAACTGAGGTTTCTGCTTTCCTGAGAAGCTGTTTTAATGGGACCATTAGTTCAGCTTTCCTGTAACCCTCACTTGCCTTTTGCCTGCCTTGCCTAACTGTTATGTCCGATCTCATAGCCAAGCAATAAACTCTGTGTAGTCAGGGGTTTGTAATTTGCTCATACATTGCACGGTTCCCAGCATGCTGGAGTCCTGATCTTTCCTTGCTGGAGTAGGAATGATTAATCAACAACATGGCCCCATGTATGCATATGTACGGGGTTTAAAAGGGGATGAATTCCAGCCACTTCAGTCAAATAATCTTCCAAATTACTGAGAAGTACCTCAGGGTCATGGGTGGACCAAGGGCTTTCCCATACAGCTGGTTGCCAAAACATTTTGAAGTCTTATTTTACTTACCTTAAGGAAAATTACAAATGCCTCAAGATTACTGAAGGAAAAGGCTGCCTATAAGAGAGGATTTTCTATGATACCAAGAGAACTTGAGATGAGAAGGCTAGAAAAAAACACGTATCTTTCAGTCCCAGTGAAAGGCCTAAGACATGAATGACCTTTAGCATGCTACTAAGGGTTTTGCTGGATTGTCTTCTACAGGGTGATCCTGGAAAAGAAGGAAAAGTGGGTTTACCTGGTCCAGCTGGTGAGCCAGGGCCTGCTGGAGTGCCAGGTTTGCCTGGTAAGGGTAAAGATGGAGAACAGGTAAGTACTGCTGTTAAGTTCTGTGTTGAGTGTAGATAGATGAGCATGGCTTCTGCAGGAGGACGGTGGATTTTTGGTAGAGTTAGGCTGCATTGTCACAAATGCTGGCAGGCTGTCTGCTGAAGACATGAAAAGCCTGGTTGTACAAAATGCTGCAGTTCACAGTGCTGCATCAAAAAAGAACTGAAGCTGTATTTCTGAACATTAAACCTTCAGTGTGCCATGAAAATAAGGACCTCCACAAAGAGTAACCATTGTCCTTGTGACCAGTACAAAAATGCTTAGCTTGGTGGAAGTTCATTAAAAGAATTTAATTCTAGCCAAATTAGCAGATATTTAATTTGTTTACATATTATCAGTAAGATACTGCCAAGATGGTGCGAGGTGAGGAGGGTGGTGCTGGGCATGGTTGCTGCCCTGACTGTCTCAATGTCCAGGCTGCTGTTTGGCTGGATGATGACTTCTTTGGTTTTGGCTCTGTCACTTTAGGGACAAAGAGGCCCACCAGGCTTGCCAGGACCCTTTGGACATAAGGTGAGCATGGGTTTTATTGTTTATTGTGGGCTACTTCTCTCACTGGAACTGGAGAAAAAGTTATGGTGAAAACATGATCTGTTTTTCACTGGAATATAGAGTTTGTGAAACTCTCACTCAAAAATAGATTTTTAGCCTTTTAGGAGGTTCTTTATTATTCAAATATGTCTGTAGATCTAACTATTAAAATATGAATTAGCTGTGCTCACTTTCCATATTTAGAATTTCTTCGAGCATTATGTGAATTCATCATGGACTAAGGACTAAATGCTGCACAATTTTCAGGGAAACTGTGACTGGGGACCTTTAATCCATACAACGAAGAGGCATTTCACAGCTGAAGGATGACCCACTCTTGAGACTGCCTCAGCCCCTCGAAGAGCACTCCTCCATAGCACTCATTTCCTCTCAAGAGGATGTGAATTATTTTCCAATGGGACCAGATAGTGCTGGCTTTCCTCCTATATTGTAGTTAAGGCAAAGAGTAGCTAGTTGATTAAGTTAATGACACTTAATTTCAGCTGAAAATAATGTTTATTATCTTATAAGTACGCAGCAAATAGAAAAAGGAATAAAACAGCCCCCCTTTTGCTTCCGGGAGCATCTGCACTGTGCTTGAATCTTCAATCAGTTATGTCAGCAATCCTCCTCCTTGAAATGACCATGTCCTGGTCTGGATTGGAATTAAAATCGGATGTTGAACCAGATTCTGTAAATGATATAAGTAAGAATATAGCAGTAGGAGACTAGGTCCATCTAGGTCCTGTATTTCTGAACTAATCAAACTGCTATGAAATATTTTCTTTTTGATTTGCTGCATTCTGTATAAATGAATTGCAGTTTGTTTTATTTTTCTTTGATAGTTTATAACACACACACAATAATAGACTGTGAATTAATATAAAAGTCAGGAAAAAAAACCTAAAAGAAATCTCATTAAATATTTTATTCAATATCAACACAAGATGGTAAGAATCTTAATTATGCATGGGAAAATAGTATTGAACTTTTTTGTATTGAAATTATGTTTTTGAATAAAATAACAGATAAGGGATCTGCTGGAGTGTTTGAAATAGTCAAAATAAATTTTCTCTTTCGGTCCTTGAAATATTTTTTCTTTGTAATATAAGATTGGTTTACAAAGAAAGAAAGAAAGGGATAAAAATTAGGAGATATTGCAGACTGGATTTTGGGTGGGCAGTATTAGTGGGTAGCAATTTTTCTATCATGCTTCTACATAGCTGGAAATAGTGTAATAATAAATAACATAAATAAGACTCCTTGTTATAGTCTACTGCCAATATGAGACCAAATCCCACAACTGCAGTACAATCCATAAAAATCTTATTTGATTTCTCCCTATAACAGGAGAACTGATGTTTAAGTGTTGCAGCTGAATACTTTCTTAACCCTCTGTCTACAGTACCCATTAAGCAGTCAAGTGGTTGACTGTGCTCTGCAGTTTTTACTATGAAAATCCTGTTTTCTAGAAGGGAGGTCTCTCCTTTTGTAGTATAGTCCTCTAGAGCGACTGGTAAAACTGCTGAATTATTTTTGTGAGTAGACCTATGTTGGTAAAGGAAAGGAGAATATTAAGATGTCACCAAAGATCCCTAATTCTGTCTTCCCCAGAAAAATAATCTGTATTTAACAATGTTTGCAAGTTAGCCATCTACCATAGAAACAGAGAAAGAAAAGCACATTATGGTGCTTAGTGTTTCCCGAAGCCAAGGAGAGTGCCTAATACCCTGCAGGCAACTGCAAATGCTGGAAATTGGATGCTGTACACTAGAATTAATTTAAACACTTGTAGAGGCTGTGTTCCTGCTCAGTTATGGGATGTGGCGCACACTGACATTACGTGAGTGCTCACAGAGGTGGGCTGGGGCTCGTGTGAAGGAAGGGGGCAGTTTTCTTGGCCGTATCGCCATGCTGCCACAACCTGGTACTGTTCCTCCGTGGGCAGGATCAGGTCAGGATGTATCAGTGTTATGTCATGTTGTAAAACCTAATTGCATTTCAGCACACTTTTTCAACAGTGCGCTAAGCCTTTAACATCTTCCTTTGTTTCAGGGTGAGAGGGGAGCTCCTGGTCTCCCTGGACAACCAGGAGACAGAGGTGTGCCAGGAATCGGTCTGGCTGGACCCCCTGTAAGTACCAAGTGCTGCTGCTGCAACCTCTGAGAGGGTGAAAACTTACCCAGCGCCAGGTAGGGAATGGGTTCCGTGGGCTCAGCTGTGCCAGGAGCCCGTGTGACATTTTACCTTCTGAAAATGCAAACTATAAACTAGTCCAGAGGCTGCCATTTGCATCTCAGATGTCTGTATGTCTGTCGTGAGGGCTCTTGATGCACTCGGTTTCAGCTGAAAGAAAGGCAGGGAAGTGCTGTAGGAGTAATTGATACCACTGGCTGTTCCTCCAGAATTTTCTGCATCATGTTGACACGCTGGCTGGGAATGTGAGTCGAGACCTGTGGTGAATGAGCAGGCCTGGTCCACTGGGCAGACGTAACCCTGCTGTCACCGTATTAGAAGGGATGAGTGTGACACACATCCCCACATCACCGATGCAGTCAGCTCTCTGATAGGGAAATACAAAGTTGCTTAAATTGCTGTGTTCCAAGAGAGCCATTGTCCCCATAATTTCCTACAAAAGGGCCACGAAGATGATCAGAGGGCTGGAGCACCTCTCCTATGACGAAAGGCTGCAAGAATTGGGCTTGTTCAGCCTGGAGAAGAGAAGGCTCCGAGGAGACCTCATTGCAGCCTTCCAGTACCTGAAGGGGCTACAAGGAAGCTGGGAGAGGACTTTTTACAAGGGCCTGTAGTGACAGGACAAGGGGTAACGGGTACAAATTGAAAACAGGGAGGGTTAGATTAGATATCAGTAAGAAGTTCTTCCCGGAGAGGGTGGTGAGGCACTGGAACAGGTTGCCCAGAGAAGCTGTGGATGCCCCATCCCTGGAAGTGTCCAAGACCAGGCTGGATGTGGCTTTGATCAACCTGGTCTAGTGGAAGGTGTCCCTGCCCATGGCAGGGGGGTTGGAACTAGATGATCTTTAAGGGCCCTTCCAACCCAAACCATTCTATGATTCTATGATTCTGCAAAGGTTTAGTTGCACCTCAACCAGCTCCACCCTCACCTCCTGTTATCAGTAGGCTGTGAGGTATATCTGGGAATCTGCTTTGGAAACTTGGATTCTCATATTGCTGGGGTTCAGTCATTCCAGTATTTGTCATGTACAACTCCTCTTGAGTTGAGGGGGGTTTGGGAGTACTCTGACTGTAGCTCTGCTCAGATTCCTCCAGATATGCACTGAATTTGCAAGTGAAGTAAGTTGAGGAGGAAGCAAACTTTCTTCCTAGCTGTAATTGCTAGAGAACATCTGAGACCTTGCATTCTTTTGCAACCCCTTGTACATATGATACTGTACCAGTCACAGTCAATGTTTTCATGCTCTGGTTATCTAGATATAAGTTTCCCTATTAGTACAGGAAATTACTTTGAAATGGTAAGTCATATTGCTGTGTGAAACTGGTTGACAAATCTATCTTTCTGAGGTGTATCTCCACTTAATATTTGCTTTTACCATGCTGAATATTGTATAAGGTAAAGCAGACTGGGTCAGTCATGTTTCACACTGTGAGTGTGTCATGGCCTTCATGGTCTTCACAGGGTTACATATGACTGAGGATTTTCTGGATGGTGTTTTATCTAAGGAACAGCGATGTTCTTGCATTTCTTAATGTTCAGTCATTAATATTAAAATTAAATTAGCAAATGAACATCTGGCTTTTTTGAAAGTCACTAGGCTGTGGCTTGCCTTTAATTACTGATTTTTACATTCAGCACAGGGGTAGTTGAGTTAATTTCTGCATCCTGATGTACACCAGATGACAGTTATTCTTCACTGGGGCTTTAGCATCCGCATATCCATGAACACAAATGGCTAAGAAATGTAGACATCACTTTTCTCACACCAGAGGATTATTTTTTTTCCTGTGTTATCATTGTGTGACCACTGTCAGGATCAGTAGCCACCTGCATGCCACACTATTCCCCATTAGGTTTTTTTTATGTATTTCAACTGCTGCACTAAATACTTCTTTTTAACAACATATTATGGTGGTTTTCTCCACTGTACATTCATCATAACGCCAGGTCCAGTGTAAAGGCCTGGAATTTGAAAAGCATTGTATAACCTTGGATCCATCAGGCTTTCACAAAGACTGAGTCTCAGAGAAAAAAAGCAGAATAAAGTCAGTGGAGCTACTTCAGTGCATATTACACTCTGAATTAAAGGTGTCAGCCTGTACCCTTTTTAGCTGTGTGACAAATTTCTGTGTATAATACTTTCAGCTTCAGAGCTGAGAGCCCGCAAGTCTTTAATTGGAGTCCTCACCCTGTTTCCTCCTGTGTCCTTAACCTCTCTTGTGCTTTGCTCCCTGCATAAAAGGTATACATAGATGAGGATTTTTTAGTTTGTCTGCTAAAGTATTGAGTTGCTATTTACATAACACTGAGCCATAAACCGAGTGTTAGCAGAATGTGTTCTTCCCAACTGAACTATACACAGAAGATGGCACTGCTTGGAGAAATGGGGTGAATTAACATGCTCATGCTGAAGTTGCCTAATGGATGTGTGCTGCATAAGTAGAAGGGTTTTGCTCTTGCTCTGCCTTGCCCTGTTCATATTAATATGGGTTCAGAATTACATATTTAGCCTCTGCTTGAGCAGAGCATTAAGGCATCCTGCATGGAGGACTGTATGAGGATTAGTTGAACTAATGTGGCTGAAATAGAAACCAAAGGGAGAGGAGTCATAATGTGAGTCAATTTATTCAAACATAGCCCCAGGGATGTGAGGTTGAGCCTTGGTTTGGGTGTGTTCGGAATGCCAGATTGAGTCATCCTTGATAGATATGTGTACTACATCACTTCTGTGGTGTTCCTGCAGAACTGGATACTTTAGAGTGGCTCACTCTACTCGATTGCAGTTTTTTAAGTTGCATTCCCAAACAAATAACATATGCAAGCCCACTGGACTCCCTGCTTTGACCTCATTTAAAGAGCACAGAAGTCCCTTGGGATGCTTTTCCTTGTGTTAGAGGTAACTGAATATGGTGGTCTTCAGGACCTGGGGGAATTGTCTTGTTGCAGCCCAACAGATGTGAGGGTGCTGTGGTTCTGTATGCCCACATCCAGCCCGCAGCAAGGCTGAGCACGTATTGCCAGTGGACACGTGCATGTACAATGCATACACATACACACACGAGTGCAGCCAGGCAGACCAATGCAGAGAACAATGCTTTTATCAACACTCACAGAAACCTAAACAGCATTCTCAGAAACATGGGCAGTCTCGATCCTGCTTCTCCTCTGTGGCTGATGGGATTTGAAGTCCACTCTTGGAATATATAAATGAAATATAGATCTTTCCAGCATCTGCTCATGGACACCTGCTTTGCCCAGTGCCCAGGGTCCTGCACCCCAGTGTCCAATTGCTAGCACCCAGACCTGCGAGTCCCTTGGGTTCACAGCCTTGCACCCCGGTTCCTGACACTCACGCCTCTCCTGTGCACCATCTCATCTGGCTTGAAGCTTGCTAACATTCAACCACATCAGCTCAAATTCATGAGCTGACCCGTGTTGAAGAGTGTTACAAATAGGATTTAATGAGAACACAGAATGGACTGTGGTGGTGAAGTGCAGAGCTCAGTGAGACAAGCAACATGTTAGCATGCAGCTGGCCTCTTCAGTCCCTTAATCTCTCTTTTTTTCCTCACACGTTTTCCTCCATGATCTACCTCAATTCTTCCTTAGTCTGCCTTTGATCCTTCCCCAAACATCCTACTGTGAGTATTGCACACTCCAACAATGTCCGTCTGCATAGCCTATCAGAATTTTTCCTTTTCCTCATCCTTCCTTCTCCATTGTTTATTATCTTGGTGCTTCAGGACCCATCCTGATAATTTTAAGCTCCACTAGTGTTTTGATGGCTGTGTCTTTTCTGTTTGCAGGGCCCTGTGGGACCCCCAGGAGACAAAGGGTCATTGGTACAGTATGTCTTTGTAACTACACACAGATTTTATGGGGAGGGGACAATCGCATTAATTGTGTTTCTACCAGTAATTTCACAAAAGCATGTTTGATTAGTTTCTTTTTGCCCAAGGGTGGTAGGGTCACAGGGTGGTGGTCAAAGGGGACTTCACTTGTGCATTATCAGCTACTTGTCTGCTATATTTGGTTGTGACAGAGAGAGTTGATCAAGACTCAGCATGGTGACAACTTTTCCTTACCTGTCAATAGTCCTACAAAAGAAAGAATGAATCACTTGTTTAAGTATTTCAAGGCACATAATTCAAGGCACACTGCTGTTCCTTATAGCAAGGTCTCAGAGCTTTAAAATAAACCATTTTAAAGCATTTTTCTCACTTAAGTGTTACAGAAACCCCTGCATTTCAGTGTTCACCAATCAGATCTAGCTCCTCAACATGCAGTTTGACAAAGATGCAATCCATTGGTGTGACACAAATAACTGTACTGTGCTCTCAGTATACAATGGCATAAATTTCCAACACTACAGGCAGTCCTAGCCAATTGTATTAGCTTTGCACTAGGAGCTAGATCTTCTTTTCTCCTCTACAGTCCTATTCTCGCTGATATTTTCTCCCTATTCTTAAACCTACTCGCCTATAGAGTCACCATTACCTTTCCAATCCTGGTATGTGAGTCTTGACTTTAGTGATGCATGTGAAGTCCCTCGTGATAGTGCAATGTGAGATTTAATTTTTCTTTCTTAAACTCTGTCATAGTTGCTTAACTGCTATTTATTTTTGAGTTTTTTTGGGGGTTTTTTGCAATAACTATTGGGTTGAGAATTTCTTCTCTTCAGCTAAGAAGCACCTGATAAGTGTTGTTCACATTAGCAGGCTTGTCTGTTCTCTTCCTACCAGGGTCCTCGTGGTGTACCTGGTATCCCTGGACCACAGGGGCCTCCTGGCCAGGATGTAAGTAAAATGAAAGTGTAAGTGCTCAAGAAAATAGACAATGCTTGATTCTTATTTCCCTAAAAATTGTGCTCATACTCAACTGTTATCACTGAGTGTTACTAGGGTGGTCCAAGGGAGATGATTCACAGAAATGGAGCTTTTGCATGTTAGGATGTCAGAGAGGAAAACAATTAGGCTAAGGTTGTTTGTCCCAAGAAAAGTGGTGGATTTTACCACTGAACCATTTTAAAATGACACTGGAGAAGGGACTTGGCAGCATATACTGGGGAACGATCCCACACTGGAAAAGGATGATTGTTAAGCTGTCTAGGAACTTCTTAGAAGCCACTCATGTAAGTAACCTATTTCTACAAAAACAGGGCCACAGCTGTTAAAAAGCTGTTTGTGGGTTCATTTTGCTGCTGCTGCTGAGCATGAGGGATGACATTTTACCTCTTGGTGTATTGTCCTCACTCCTGCTGTCTCAGTGAGTGAGTCATGGAGCTGAAGGATAGAGAGAAACGTGGCAGACTCCCAGCTGGAAAGCTGACCCCTCTCACTGCCTGGCTTTGTTGCAGTGTTGAATCAGAAATGGGAGAGGTTTTTTTTCTCTGCTGGTCAGCCAGGTCTGCGATGTGGAAAACAGTGCTGGAGGAAAACCAGTAAGGGGGCTCTGAACATTTTGAAAGGCTTGATCTTTGGATTTGTGCCTGTTGAGGAAACGCTGTGAGGAGGGGGCAGTGGCCTTCTGTAACTCTCCTCCTCAGCGCTGCTGAGGTTTTCAAATGATACTGCCGTGTCTGAAATGGGTACCAGTTTTCAATAAATCCATTACAAGTGGTTTTCATCCCTAATATTGCTTTACTGATTTACATCGGCTGGCCTAAAGGGTGTACTCTCCTGCAGGATGGATCTCCTTTCCTCCAGAAGCATCTGAAGAAGGTTTTGTTTTCTTCCCACCTACTTTGTCATGAGACAAATTATTATCGCAGCCCACAACAGTAGAAATAGTCTTTTGCTTCCATCACCCTGTGTCCCTGAGCAGCCACAGATTCAGGTTTGATTGTGTCCTGCTAACTGCCCCTAGAGATCTTCACCTTATCTCAGATGGTCGAGATTTTTAACCCAGAGGTTTTAAACAGGAGATGCAACAGAAGGGTTTGTTACAACTGTGTGTGAGGTGTGTCAGAGCCAGCCTTTCCGAGTCTTCCTGGCTCTACTCAGATCAGCACTGGCTGGTCAGCTCTTGGAGAGACAATACTACAGCCATTGCATCTTTACATTCCCCTGCAGAAAATTACCCAAACAGAACCATTCCTTATGGTGTTTTAAAACACATCCTCTATTACACTAACTGCTTTAATTGCACTCCATATGTCTTTTAGGAGTTGCCTCTATTCTGGTTGATCACCTATTAAGTAATTCTACCTGTGTTTCAGGAAGCGTAACTACAGGACACACTAATGTTTCTTGGTATAACATCAAGGATACGTGTTTTGACAAGATAATGCATTTGCAGTTTCTTGATCTCCACTTTTATTTATGACTAGTACAAAGGATTTTTTGTTCTGATTTGCGCTCTTCCATATCAATGTACTATTCCTGCATTCTTTGAAGCATGCCCATTTTTGTACTCAGTTGTATTTAAACAGTATGTCATCAGTTAGGAAAGCTTCAATTTGATTTGCTAATACAAATTTGCCATTAATGACTTGCTTTAATGTCTTGTGCTCTGCTGTGGCCTTTGCAAATATACTCCATGTTTTTTCTGAGACTGAATAATTCTTATAAATCACATTTACATACATTAGGTTATGCTCTGCATTATTTTTCCAGTTGCAGACTCATCACATGTTCTTGGAAGTGTGTCTATTTTAAGTTGTTGTATTCCCTGATGTTTCCAAATGAGATTTACAGTTGTATTTGGGGAGGTGGAAGAGTCAATACTTCTTTTGCAATAGCTTTGGCCCAAATTATCTCCCATAGGTGAATATATAGGTATTTTTTGCAATAGCATTGACCAAGGTCACCTTTTGAAACGTCTCTTGGCATCTTGATCAAATATCAAGCATTCTCAGGACACTGTCTTTTTATTAAAATTTAGGTTTTGAAAATCCTTGTCCAGGTTTACAGTACAGTCATGCTGGTTTGGCTTTGTTCAATTACTCTTAGCAAAAGGATTGGTATTTATTTGTATGAACTGCCCTCTAGAGTTCACTGTGTCCATAAACCCCTACAGATTCTCTTCTGGGACAAAGCTGAGACATATTGTCTTTGTCCCATGTACCTTGTTTTCTTGTATTTGAATTTGCATTTTTTTCCACTTAACTAAAGTTCCAATTCTTAAAGCCTGAAAAGTGCTTTCTGTAGGTTTTTTGTGTTCTTTGTTTTTCTTTATAGTAGGATTAATTTGCTCTGTAACAGGACTACAACATATCACGCCAACTTTCATGCCTTCCATTACTTCAAATATTGTTTGTACTTGCTTTTGGAGAAAAACCATCTGAATCACATTTTAAGCTGGCAGTATTCCTGTAGCGAGTATTAAAAAGCCTTAAGTACATTATTCAGGGAAATTGGCAAATCTATCTCATATTCTGAAAGCTGCAAAAAATTATTCTGCATGTTAAGTGTGCATGGCCGATCAGATAACCTTGCTGGAATAAACATCCTCCCACACCCCATGCCCACATCAATTGGTGTGACTGCCTAGATTTGGTTCCTATCACTGCCTCCCTTATTATTCGTTGGTCAGGTTTCTGTCCCTGTATGTTCTTACATGCAGCTTCCTTCTTTTTTTCCCTTGTATTGAAAATGGTCCATGACCAGATTGCCCTAAAGGAGCAGGCCAAACTCCCTTACACTACACACTTTTCAGGAAGCATCCACTCTCCTCTGCCTGTCTGCTGGGAGTTACATTGTTCCTGTTCAACATACCTACTTAGTTCCTTTAGATTAAAAACCAAGCTGAATGAGACAGTCTCTTGTCCTGCTATGAGCAGTGAGGGCACCCATTTAACAGGCTCTTTCTGGTTTTTGATTATGATCGTTTTAATTAACATAAACATTGAATGAATCACTTTTTAATTATGTTAATTATTTCTGATAACTAAGTTCCAGTATTACTGCAAAGTTAATATTCCCCTGCATTTATTTTCATAATTATGAAAACTTTGTGGATGCATGCATTACTGCCATTGTATCTGAAAAGCAGAGTTTTCTGTTCTGGCCTTGATTTTCCCATAGAGTTAGAAGGACAGTTCCATGAACCTTTGTGTTTGTTTTAGGGTACATACACCCCAAACCAGAGTACACCTTTTAAACCTCCTTTTGGCTTTTTATTCCTGGGACTTATAAATTATTTAAGCTATTGCATTTCAAATTTAATTTTCAGTCTTGTAATAGAACTATGCCACCATAAACCTGCGTGACCAGCTTCCTTATACACTTTCTCTTTCATGTACATCACATACCTGAGCATCAGTTTTCAGTGTGTCATTGGCACAGGTTCCATCGCTTCCCAGCTAGAGACAATGCTGTGGGTCAGATTTTGCGGATCAGTAGAGTACTCTGGATCCAGTGCATCATATCTCCTCGTTGTGGACATCTTTTTCCTGCACTGGTATGTTGTATTGCTTACTGCATATTCTGCTTTGTGTCAGCCATTGTTGGCTGCAGACTCCTGAGTGTTCAAACTTTATGAGCTTTCCAACACTCGTCGGTATTCAGGTCTGTGCATGTTCTCACATCGCATTAGTAGCGTTTCTTTTCAGTGCCATGCAGTTTCTTTGTGACTTTCCCTTTTTTCCTTTTCTTCCCCTGTTAGCCAGCTTCTCAGTTGCAGTTACACCTTCTGTGCCGCCTTCTAGCATTTTCATTATGCTCTGAGCAATATTTGCAGCTTAGCCTTTGTTGTTACCGTTTCCTAACTCCAGGTCTCCATAGTCCAGCAATCTTTCCTTTACTTTGGACTCTTCTTCCAGTTACCTGTTCTCTAATAATGCAACGTGCTGAAGTGCCAACATCCTACATTTGGTTTGTTCTTTTCAGCTCGGACAAGCATTCCTTGAAGGAATCTCTCTTTTGCAGTCTTGTACCTTTCAACTGTTTGACTTTTCCTGGGGATGCAGTGGTTTTCAGATTTGGCACATAACTTAATTTCTTTTCCTGGCTTATTTATGTCCTGTTAAAGACTTCACCAGCTCCACATCACACACCAAGGAAATGAATCCATCCCTCTTTGTCTCAAGGCACTCTGATACCATGTGCATATCACAGCCATGCTTAAATCTTTCCTGGGATTTCAGTTTTAATTACCCTCTTCTTATGTATCTTTTCCAATGTTCTTCTTTAAATAAATCTTTAAATGCTCCAATTCCACCTCTAGTACCATGTGATGTGGTTTAACCCCAGCTAGTGAATAAACACCAGACAGCCACGTGCAGCACATCACCTCATGTTTCAGATCCCTAAGCAAAGGTTGTCAGCAAACCCTATGGTAGAAATAGTTCATTTGTAGCTGTGTTAATAGTCAGCATAAAAAATATTTTTCAACTGTCTTTTCTGTGTTGCTTTCTGATCCAGGATGATTCTCACGGCTCAAGTCTTTGCTTTGCATTGCACTCCTTAAAGCAAGTGCTGTGTGAGTCTTCCTGAACAAAGTAGGTCTGGGAACGTAAGATCTCTGTAATTATTTAGGCAACCCTCTTCCCACTTGCAGAAGTGGTTGAGAAACACAATGGAGAAGATGCTAAAAGCATGACCTGACAATTAGTATCTGTGAAAGTAAAGGGACTAGGGGGACATCCCACAATCTTCTAACCACCACATTGTCGCTCTGTGGAATAAGCGAAATTATAAATAGTTACAATGTTTCCTTATATTTACTCAATTCCCAGAAGGACTTTTGTGGGGAATTATGCCCTAAGAATCTCCTTCACAACTTATCTTCTCTTGGTTCTCACCTGTAGAAGGTTTAGTAACTTGGGAAACAAGCTTTCCTCCATGGACTTCAGCACTACTCTAGTTCCACTTCAGTTCATGCTGAATACCAAGGTAATCCACTACTGGGTTGTTCTTCACCCAGAAGTGTTTATGTGGACATAGAAAAAGAACTATCAATATATTTTCTCATTTTCTCTCCTCTAGCAAGAAATATGGAATTTAAGTTATAAATGAGATACAAGGATGAAATTCAAGTTTGCTCTACAGCTGTAACTATGGTGTAGCAGGATATCACAACTTTGCCTTAACACAAGCCTAATCCTCTTCCTGACAAAGCATTTGACCAATTTTTAAAGGAGCTTTCCAGGTGAAAATTTTGGATAGCCTCAGAGAGTCCCCTAGGTAGCTCCTGCTGAGCCTAGACTGATTGAGAGCCACTGCTTGTATCTTCAGTGTGTTGATTGACATCCTGGGTGGGGAACCTGGTGCCATCCCAGAGACCTCTCCAGGTGGGTCCTACTGAGGAATCAATGAAATTGAACACAGATAAGATGCCTTTAAATGGTGAGTAGAAACTGGTCCTGCAGATATAAAAATGTCCATGCAGGACAGCCTGTGGGATGTGGTCAAAAGAGTTAGAAGATATTTTGTATGTTCTTTAAGATGGAGAGAACATGCATATGCTTGAGTGATGACACAGGGTGACGGGACAGCTGGATACAGGCATTTAGCAGAGAATGGTTTGGGGAAATCTCACCCAGGCCACCTTAAAACACCACTGCAAGGATCCTTGCAATGCAGATTTCTGTCACCATCTGGACAGTGACCAACTGTCCTCTTCAAAAGATTTATTTTCCAGTGTTAGCATTACTTTATGCAAAGTTTCAAAAATAATCTTTTGTTTTGTTTTGTTTATTGTTGTACCCATTGAGGTACAACATAAGAAATGCCCATTGAGGGGGTGGGGGAGGTCTCTTTTCCAAACCATGACTTCCTGGACTTCAAATTCTAAGAATGCTGGTCATTTCTATATCTCTGTCTCATGAAAACTGATAAACCATACATACCCACAAACAAACAAAAAGGCTCATTGCTATTTCAGGCACAAGAGACCTGTTTGCAAGGCTCATGCAAAACAAGGTCTTGATTTTGCATGCTATAGGTTTCTTCAGGGATTTAAAACTTCATCCTTCACACTACTGCAGTTCAGTGTTTCCTGTGAGCGGAAGAAAAGCTAAAGCAATTTCAGTCTTTGTGTGACTCAAATGAATTTAACAAGGCCACATGGTAAATAAGTGAGATTTAGGAGGGGAGCAGAGGATATGATTAAGCGATGGCAAAAAAATCAAGAGACACAACTTTTAAAGTTGCAGCTATTTAAAGGAGTTTACTGTTTACCACATACAAGGAGCAGTGGTGCTCAGTGGCAGAAAGCAGAAATGTGTGCTAGTCCAGAGCAGTCAACAGACTGTGGGATCAACCAGGGGGTTACTGTGTAATAATTTTGCAAACTTCTCTTTCTCTTGATCTGCAGGGTCTACCTGGAAATCCAGGGGAAAGGGGACCTCCTGGAAAACCAGTATGTCACTTCACTTCTACATTACATTTTACTTTGAACTCAGTTTCCACCTGTACACCTTACCTCAGAAATGAACTTCAGCTACCCTAACCATTAAGGAGTTACGATCAAATTATCTGTGATAGCTTTGGATTAATATGTGAATAACTGGAATAGCATGCCAATAAAACTAAATTTTAAAGGCAGTTTCTTAGCACCACTATGCAGTATCCTTGGCAAGAGCTGCATTTCCTGTGTATGAAGAGTTAAACCGATCTCAGGTGTGATGATGTGCATTGGTAATGTAGGGCAGCAAGTATGTGTTTGGCTTAGTGAGTCCTGGACAGAGCAAGGTAAACCAAGGACAGTCCATAAGCATGTTCAGAAAAATTTCTTATACCTTTATGTCTTTTAAAACAGTCTGAGATAATTAATTTCTCATTCCACAGGGTTCCTCACCCCTGCTCTCTCCAGAGGACATAAATCTCTTAGTAAAGGTAATCAGCCTTTGAGGATGGAAGGAGTTTGTACGTATGTTTGATTCAAACCTGACTAAACACTGTGATGGCAAAGTTCATGAGCTACAAGTGCAAAAGGTCCCTTTAAACACACTGTCAAAGCTTGAAACTTGCATGTCACCCACTCGCACTGGTGTTGGGACCCTAGGGCACATGCTGGGGATCAAAATCCAATGGCTGTCCATTGTCCCCAGAAGTGACATTACCTACAAAGATCTTTATAAAATGGTGTATGTTACAAAAGCTCTGAGACTTTTTCAGCTCTTTCAGAGACATGTATGAGAAATAAACATTGTCAAGTTGTATTACCTAAACTAGCAAATGGAAAACATTTTACTAAAACGTCTGATTTTTCATGCATACCTTCAGCAGGGACTGGAATAGGTTTGAACTGTGGGTGCAAAGTCATTTTGCATAGTGCATCTAAAAGGATGCAGGTAATTAACCCCAGATGTACTCATGCTTCAGAAGTGATGATCTGTCTGTCTGCTTTTACTCTCCATTGTAGAGAGTTGTCTGGGAAATGGGTCAGTATTTGATAGGTGTTGACTGCAAAATCTTTACAGATCTACATGGTCTGAGTTGGGAGATTTTAAGCAGTCTTGGGACATGGCAAGAAATCTTTTCTTATTGATTAAAAGAAGCTGAAAAATTACCTTTCTTTACCAACCCCATTAACAAAAGAACCCTTTTAGGATTGCTACACTGAATTCTTTGTTGAAGGTATGTTTTAAGGAGCCAGGTATTTTTCCAAAGAATCCACTGTATGGTATTGTTTGGGATTTCTGGTCAGGACAACAGCAGTGAACTGATTCTGGGGAACAGGATGTCATTTTCATGTTCCTTTGTTTTCTTCCTTTGATTATGTTATGGTTAAACACACTCACGTGCCTTGCATATTCTTTCTGTTTAGTACTTTTTCACTCCACACTTAGTACAGCTCTATGTAAAGCAGCACCTTGAAACTCCAGATGAAATTAGGGCTCTGTTCTTCTTGGTGTCTCTAAAGCACTTATATTGTAAGTAGAAAAGTATGCATGAAGGGGCTGAGGATTTGAAAGATGGTTTGCCCCACAGTTTTGCAATGGATCATTGATAGGGTTGGGTGTTGGAGTAAGATCTCTTAACTCTTGGCCTGATGATCTGTCTGTTGGGCTATGTTGTCTCTTACTGGCAGGATTCACTCCCATTCTGCTGAAAGGAGCCTGCTTTTGAAATGGAAATATCATACCCATGGTATTTTGTTTCCTGAGGATAACAGAAATGTAAAGACTACTGAGCTGATGCTTCAAAGAGTTTTTGAAGGAGGGAGGTGGTAATTCTTCATGATACAGTTTGGCCAAGACACTGTGACATTCACTTGGTCTTCATAAACTCCATTGGATGAGTTCTCCTTGGACATGCTAGCAGCTGAATAGTTTTCCTTGCCGAGAATCCTTTCTTACATTGTCCTGCACCTGGGGTTTTCCTAGCAATCTGCCCTCTGAGTAGTAACCCAGCTCTTTCAGACTGGTATAGACAGAGTTTTCTACTAGTTTTGTAGCGTCAAAGCAAAGTTGTTCTTGGCCTTGCTTTGAGGCTGTCTGACTTCCTCACTGGGAAGAGCTTTTCCTTGGTTTCCTGATCCTGTATATCAGTTAGGAGCTGTCCAACTAGAGCTGATAGGAAACTCTCCATGGGAGCCTGTGTGAGCTCAGCTGCTGACCCTTGCTCTGCTCCACGCTACCCTCGCTTCGGTTCTGTAAGGCAAAGTAACCCAGATCCTCCCCTGCATGCTCAAACTGCACAGGCCTACACGTTATACTTGCACCACACTGCTGCATTTGTAGGGGGGGTCTGCAGGGTCTGCTACGCACCTTCAGTCTACTGCTCATTTATTTCTCTGTGTTCTCTCCTAGGACGTGTGCAGTGAATGCCCTCCTGGCCCACCTGGGCTACCAGGCATCCCAGGTTTCAAAGGTGATAAAGGTCTCCGGGGACCACCAGGTAGAGATGGACAGGATGGGAAAATGGTAAGTGACCATGTCTTGGATGTGGTGTAACCTTGTTTTTCTTACAATGTTTTCAGATGGTTGATGTATTTTTTTTTCCCATCAACAACCTGCTGAATTGTTTTTATATGTCTGTGGAGTCAATGGACTGAAGTGGTGTTTACTCTTCCTGTTCTGCACTGCAGGGAAATGCTGGTCCCAGAGGTCCTGCGGGCCCACCTGGGCTGGATGGCCCAAAGGTTGGTTGATTTTCTTTAGTTGTCTAATGAAAACTTACTTGTCACTAGTTAGTACACTGGATGAAGCAAGATCTTGGTGACATCCATCTCTGTGTAATGGGGTAAGGATGGCCTCTTGCATGGACCCTGTACTAGCGATTCACTGGAATTGCACATGCATGCAGAACTGCACAGCTCCCCACATGAACACTGGTTCACTTAGTGTCTTCTGCTATCCCTTTGCAGTTGTCACACATGCACATACATGAAAAGCCTGATTCTTGATGCTGAATTTCATTACATTGTTGTTTTGATGAAAGACAAGAACTTGAGAGTCAGTTTCAGTCCAAATCAGGAGAGGAAAAAATTAAAGCCTCTGCAGTAGCCGCCTTTCAGGTTCCTCTCCTCTTTGTATCCTATATGCTTCAGTAACTTAAATTAAGGGTGATGCAATGGGGTGCTGAGCTCCATATATGCTCTCTTCCATAGTGGTTTTATCCACAGACCCTGAATGTTTCCTGAAACACACTATAGGAAGAACTCCTTGTTTCAGATATGTGCTTCTGCCTAACAGTCTAGGCCTAACTTCTGCCAACACAGTTGGCCTAACTTCTGCCAACACAGAATTTCCAGTGTCTGAAGGATTTCAATAATATCCCTTTCAAGCATTTCCCATGAAGAGGTCTGTCATCAGTCTGCTCACAATGCCAGTGCCTAGTCACAATTAAAACCGTTACAACTGCCTAATGTGAAATAAATCAAAGCAAATCAATGGAGGAAGAGATAAGGTGGTTTTATGATGGACCACATTTTCCTCCAGACTTCCCTGCATTACTGACTTACTGTCTAAAACAGCTCCTGCTATTTTAACGTCTTTGTATTTGCACTTTAATTAGAGTGTAGGAAAGGCTAATAGAGATTCATGTATTAATTTTATATCTTGCAATTAAAAGTGTAGTGGGGAGAGCAGTAAAGCCTCAAAAGTAAATATAGCATTGATCAAAATGAAAGAATATTCCAGGAGAAAACTTACAAAAGAATTAGTAACCCATAAAGACAATAACTGGCAGAAATGCCAACAGTCTGAGATATACCATGCCTCTGCTTTCTTGAATGCTATGAGAAAGCAGAGATTTGGGCAGCAAGATTAAATGTTTACTTGAAGTAACAGGACCAATTTTAAAACTTACTTGTACATAAAATAAAATCAAGTAATTGATATTCTAACTTGTATTTAATAAAAAGGTATATTCGCAGAGTTTGCATATGTTAAAATATTGTAAGACCCCTAAGAAGGTGCAAGCACAAAGACAGTCTTTGTGACTCCTTTCTAAATCCATTAGGAGGATCCTTGCAGTGGAAAACCCAAAGAGCTCTGAACTTTTGAACATGTAGTATGTTGTTCTTACCAACACCATCCAAACTAGTATTAGGTCCCATTCTGAAACAGAGCGGGAGAACAACAGATCTTTGCTCATGAGCAGCTTCACACCTTCAGGCAATAGGAATTAGGCCTCTTTTAATTAGTACATAGCAGCCCTCCTCCTCCACTTGTCTCTTTTCATGTAGTAAACCAGAGTATTATTTCCATGGCCAGCAATTCGTTGGTGTTCTGTGCACTGTTCATAATTTGCACTCCATAATCTCAGTGTTGTTCACTGTGTGAGACTCATCTTGCCTTACTTCAAGCACTGATAAATACAACCTACATTTGAGTTAGCTTCCTCTGTTCTGTTGTCACTGGGGCAGAGAGAGAGAAAGAGGGGACATTTTCTGGGTATGAGAATGGTATGGTACCTTAGAAATGCCATTTTTATTGGTGCTGTCCCTGAAGGGACAGGAGATTACTAGCTCATACTGTGGATGCCTTTGCTGGGCCAGAGGATGCCTTGCCAAGATCTAAAGTAATGAAGTTCTTAACAACCTGTCTACTTTCTAAGGATGTGGAAGTCCTCTTCATGTCCATGAGACTACAATATTTAAAAAATAAGAGCTATGATGGTTTTTCTCAAAGGCCATTCTTCACATATATTCCTGACTCCAACATTGGTAGTGAAAGTCTAGGAAAGAATTTAAGAGAAGGGCAAGTAAGATTCAGTCCTAATTTATGTGTTTTATGCTCAAATGTCCAAGTGCTTTATGAAATAGGTCAAAAGCTGATATAATACTGATTCTAAGTGACTTTCATTGTTGGGGTTTGGTTTTTTTTTTCATTAACAGGGTGCTAAAGGAGACCGTGGTATGACTGGGGATGCAGGAGAAAAAGGTGAACAGGTAAAGACAGAATATGTTTTCCAACAATGATATCACTGTGGTTGTTCCTTCATCAATAACTCCCGTGATGCCAGTAGAACAATACCCTTCTTAGAAGCAGAGGAGGAAGATGGCAGCTCTTCATCACTAATAAATGTCAAATGGGCTTTGCTAAGGAGTGGAACTGTAGCACTTTTCCACAGGCTTCCATCCCCATCTCCAATTAATACCTTCCTTTATGATCTGTTTCCTCATCTCTAGATTAAGTGCATTCAATTCTATACATTACTCAACCTTTCATGACATCCCCAGATAATGTGTAGACGGGATCCAGGAGGTCAGGTGTCTTTGGGTCGAAAAAGACAGTGTTTGTCCTAGAAGTTGAATGCAAGAATTACCTCTTTCAGGAGGGACTGAGATGCCACAGGAAAGAGGAGAATGATCTAAATTAGAGAAACCTTCACAATTAATTTTGCCAAGGGCAGAGTCAGTAGTTTAAGGTGCAAATCAGCAGCTTTTCAATTATATGTATAGGATACTTTAAACAGGTTTCCTGCCTGATCTCCTGGCCTGTACAATTCAACAATATTTGTTCTCATCTCCCAATAGTATAGACTAAAGTACACATTAGAAAAAGTGCACCTTAAATGTAACTGTTTATTTCTGAAGTGCATGCTTTGCAAATAAATTATGCTCTAAAAAGCCATGGTTCCTTATTTCCTTATAACCAGCTCTCTGTGTGCTGTCTCATTTTGATGTTACTTCACAATGTTCAATCAACAGGCAACTTCCATGCAACTAGAGATGTACGTAATGCATAAAGAAAGTCCCTCTTCTCATTCTGCAGGGCCATCCTGGAATGCCTGGCTTCTCAGGGGCTCCTGGAAATCCCGGTCCACCTGTAAGTTCCTCTGTTGAAAAGATGTTCCTGTTTTTTTCCTTACTAATAAAGGTTGTTGTGAGCTCCATATGGAAAGAAAGGACCATTCCCACCTCTTTGTGCATTGTATTTGCATTTTTCACTGGGTTCCTAATGGTCCCCTGAGTGTCCCCCACTCATGATAATTGTTGTTTAATACATTGGCCAGTTTTCACTGATTGCTTCAGCTCACACTGTAAATCGATACAAAGCTTCAGTTGCTCTCTTTATACAAGACAATGATCATAGAATCATAGAATGGTTTGGGTTGGAAGGGACCTTAAAGATCATCCGCAGAGGCTACTTAGTAGTATGTGTATAGGTGTTTTCTTACATGTGGAATGAGTTGTCAGTCTACAGCCAGCAGTTCTAAGAGTATTGTAGTTCTCAGTTTTACACAGTGGTATGAGACTTGATTTTCTTCAATTTTCATATCCTGTGAGTTACTTTTGAATTAAAACGCCTCCATCACATACCTTCTCACTCCTAGCTCTACTCTCTCCATAAATACAACTGTGCTTCTTTGTATTTAAAAAGGGGTGACAGTGCAGAACAGGGCTGAAATAACTTGGCTCTCCTGCCTATGGTACCGCTGCTTGCCCTCCAAGAGTTGGGACTTCTCCTTAAAGAAAGGCTTTTATTTCCAAAATGCCTCTCTTTGCCTGTCATAATCACTGCTTATGGTGCAATTTGGCTCTGCCATGCTAAAGGTGTGCAGCTTTCCTCTGTCCTGGTGATCAGCACAGTCTCTTCAAAGCTGAATTCACAGTACAGTGACTAAATGACAGGACATATCAGAAAAGAGGATTAGATTACAACTCTGTTTTCATATGGTAGCAGACCCTAAAAGATGCTGCATGCTTTGCCACTGGGATGACACATGGACCTGCTTTGTGGGTCATTCTTGCTCCTATAAGCATTATTTTAGGGGAAGCTTTTACTGTATCTGTAACAACCTCATAGTGGCACAGCCATAGGGTTATTCTAGTAGGATTAAAATTCTTAAAATTGTCTTATCAGGCCCTCTGAATAACTCACAGTCAAAGGAAATGCGCAAAGTAAAACTGAGCCTGTCAAAGCAGAGCAAAACCTGATGATTTTTTTTTTTCTTCAACTTCTGCTGACTTTTTCTTCTGTCTGCACTGACTCGTGACTCTGGGAGTTTGCCTGCCACTGAATGTGCTTCAAACTGCTCCCATAATTTCTGTTCTTCAGAGTTATTTTTGTCACAAGATTGGGTTTTTCCTATTTGTCTCCTATCTTGAAAAGGAAGGGCCAGGACCAAACTCAAATATCTGACTATTTCTGGCTTTGGAGGCTGATTGAATGCAGAGGTTGGCACTGCTTTTCTCTGATGAATGAAGAAATGATGGAATGAATGCTGAACTGAGTGACTGAAGAAAACTTCAGTGTTGCCATCCAGCTGTGGTAGGGACTATTGACAAATGTACAAAATCCATTAATCATTCATGCTGTTTCTGGTTTATTTTGTTTAGGGACCAGATGGGGCACCAGGACCAATAGGACCAGCGGGAAACCCAGGAGACATAGTAAGCATTAAGCTGTGTATTTTACCACCAGCTTCACCTTTATTTAGCTGTGTGAAGTAAAGCTGAGCTGGAACCCATGTAATGTCCCTTGAAAGCTCCCCAAACTATTCAGCCTGAATCAACTCTACACCTGCAAATAGGACCTCCACAAATAACCACAGGTTACTGTGTTCTTGCTGTTCTGTTTACTCACTGTCGTGGTTTTCTTTCCTGGCTGAATCCAGCACACTCACCAAAAGAAACTCCACATTAGCCAGAGTATAATCCAGTCCATGTGTCCTCTAAGGAGGTTTCTGTACCACTTGTCCATCTGTCCTTGCTATTAACATCTCTTAGCCTTTAGAACAGAACAACTAAATCTGTTAAGATGCTTCATGACCCAGGCTAGCACCTGAACTGTGCGTGGGGATAGCCAAAATGAAACCAGCAGCCTGTTGAAGGATGTCACAGCACAGACTGCTCAGAAGCCAGGGCCTGAGACCATTCTCTGGCACCACTGAAAATACTAGTACAGATGCAACCTTTGAGGAGTTCATGAAGAATTTTTCTACTTCTGTTTCATTCGAAGGGTGTTCAGATGCTGTTTTATGGTAATGCATCAGAAACCCCTGGGAGAGATAAGCAATGTGATTAATGCTAACTTCAGGTTGAAAAGGGAAAAATGAACCTTCCCTGAGTAATACCCGCTGTTGAGCTGGAACAGTTTAAAACTGTGTAATTCTGTGATTAATTTCTAGAGCAGAGTTTCCTAATGAGCAAAGTGCCTTTTGCAGATCCATTTCAACCTGAATTTCATCATAGGTGAACAGTGATGGTCCTTCTGATGTCTGTTATGAAATCAGTGGGCACTGTCAGCAGAGAGGCCAGAGACTACATGGACAGGCTGGCTGAAATTCCCTTTCAGATGGATGATCAAGGCTGAGACACTGTGAAAGACCTGGGATACTATTGTCCAGTCCCGTAAATTAAGGAGGTTTCTTGGGACTGTCAGCAAGGCACTTATCATAACTACTCATTTGTTAGGTATAAAATAAAGGTCTTCAACTTTCTGGCTGGATACCTCATGCAGGAAGTTAAGGACTAAATATAATTAAACTTCAGAGAAAAATTACCAGTGATTTCAGTGCTTTCCCCTTGTGTAATAATTTATAAAACTGGATATTTTATGTGAAAATAAAGACCTCCAGTTTAAGCTAGAAGGAATCCAAGGAAACCTCATACACTCTATGACACGGGCTACAAGACCAGCTTCTCACAGTTGTCCCTTATCAAACTCTACATTTGATAAATCTTCATCTGATAGAAGCACTGACCCACAGTGTTTCTGCTTTCTTTCCAGGGTAAAGATGGCCCTCCAGGTCCACAGGGCCCACCAGGGTTGCCTGGACTTCCAGTGAGTGCAATTCAGCTCCTTCTAATTCCATACATTAGACTGTTCATAAACACATAAGTGTGTAGAGCAAGGGTGACATTTTTGAGGTACTCTGAAAGCTATGCATGATCTGTAATGGTGTCTGTCATGTTGATGTTATGTCCTTGATCCAGGACAGTGTGAATGCTGTCTTTGATCACTTTAAATCTAGGTGTTAATTACCAACATGAATCAGGTCTGTTCCTTATTTGCCTTCTCATTGGAAGAAACACTCTTATGCAGAGCAAGATCAACTAATAGCTCCAGTGTGAGGACACAAAAATTCATAGACTATGTCTTCATCTGAATCTACTGTTGAAATAATTCCCTTGCACTAATTCAAGTGCATCTTGGGCATAGACTCTTCTCTTTTGGAAAATGTATTAGTACAACATTGGGGATTTTTAATCTGCCATAGGGATAGGGTACATTTCTAGTGTAAAGTAGCCTAGTTGAATGAAGATGATGGCATTACAATGATTTATAACAGCTTTTTTTAGAATCCTGTTTTAAGATTGTTGGAGTGCTCATCATACTCAAAAGGGGAAACCCCTTAGACTTAATACATTGGAAGTGGAAACAGTTTATGAAGTTACAGTGGTGTGGCAAGGGGACTTTTATAGCTGAGCTATAGAAATTGGGTAGTTTTTGGAGGATTAGGCAAACCTAAGTATGCCATGAAGCAAAGTTGTCACTGTGAAACTCACACTGACAAAAACAACACCAATATTCTCTTTCGACTCTTTCTTCATACCCTGTTTTGCATTTCATTTACAGGGCCTTGCTGGGAATGATGGCAAAGATGGCAAGCCAGGATCTCTTGGGGAACCGGTAATGTAATTTAAAACTGTTTCGCTCAAGCAATCAGAGCCTGCATCTAGTTATTGCTTTTGGAGCTGCCTATCTGTGGACTCCTTGGTGGGGAGGGTGGCAGGGAGCGTGTTTGAAAGTCTTTTTTTTTAACACCAGTTGGACTATATTGTCTTGAGCAATTTATGAGTCACACACTAGCAATCTTGGAAAGAAACTGGTTTCTTTTACTTTTACAGCTACCATAAATACACTAAAACGCAGTGGTTCCACTTTTACAGCTACCATAAATATTGCAGAGACAGAAGGTTGTCTTGTAACATTAAACCTAGTGATTCATTTTTTAGGTGGAAGATTATGGGACATAAAAAGTTTAGAGGAAGTGTCTTTAAAGAATACTTGTGTAAAGAATACAGTTCTGTGATCCAGGATTAGACTTTTTATTTTCTCTACTTAGTCTATATTTGCATTTGTTGAGGGAAAAAAAATTGAGCCGTGAAGTTGTCAGCCAAAAGGAAATGTTTTAAATTGGGCAGTGAATGTTATTCCTTGCAACTGTGTTTGTTATATGAAGGATGTGCTTCCAGTATCTGGAATTGCCAGCTTCTTTCTTTGACTTGTGAAAAGGAACTAAGTGGTTCTGTGAAGAGCCAAGTCCCCAGTCATTAGGACAAGCAGTACGTGGAGCAGTGCTTGCCAAAGCAGCTGCAGACAGTTGTGTTCTACCATCAAAACACCTGGTTCCTACTTGCAGATGCTGATTTTGTACGTGCTTACTAGGTATTGGTGCAGTGCTGTACATTACCATTTTGACATTAAAGCATTGTAAAGGTGCAGCAGTCCAAAGATCTCAGCTGTCTTTGAACCTCAAAGGCTGCATTTATGACAGTGTGTGTAAGGGTATGTATGGAAATGTCTGTCACTACTGTCCTCCTTGCACACTCAGACTCCAAAGCTGCTGGAGAAACCCTGGGCAATCACAGTTCTCAGTCATGTTTCATCTGAAGGAGGAGAGTAGGAGGTTTTCAACAGGACAGAGATGGACCTGATACTCTCACTAACATGAACATGCTTGTTTCCCATAGGGAAAACCTGGAGAACCAGGGCTCCCAGGGCAGGAGGGTGCCAGGGGCTTACCGGTAGGTGCTGCTCTGAAGGATTCAATCCAGTCACTTTTCTGTACTGTAACTGGGAAGTTTTTGTTGGGCAGATGAAGGTCTTTACTGATGCAAACATATAAGCAAAGGGCTGGCCTGGCTAATAATAGTCATGGCATTGTGACTAAAAAAATAAATAACCAACAGAAATCAAACACAGGCATTTCCAAATTCTTTACACTTGGAGAAGAGTAGGTCCCTTCCCTAGAATTTAAAGCACATAACCTCATGACACCCCTTCTACCAGAAGGCATTGTCACAGCTGTACCCCTTGTGCTTTGTTACACATCCTCTGAAAGGATGGGGACAAGGAAATTTAAGGTTAAATAATCTTTGGGCTAGTCACACCAGGAATACAAATGGTACAGTCTTGGCCTGCAGCATAAGGAGCGCTGGAAAGGGCTTTTCTCTCCTTCTGATATGGCCCTTCCTAATCACTCTCCGGAACACAACAGCTCAATGCTGACCATTCCCCAGTAATCTCAGGCAAAATTGGGAAGATTATTAAGTGCAGATTCAGTATAGAGTTTTCTTAGCATTTCATGCATCAGAGTAATGGGTGATTGTTGCTTTCATTCTCTTTTGTAGGGTTTCAAAGGACAGAGAGGAGATACAGGTCCCCCAGGCCCACGGGTAAGTAACACATACAAGAGGATCCTTTGGAGAAAGACTGTATGAATTGAAGTTGACCTTTCTGAGGCAATAGATAAAAATGATGACAGCCCTGTTTTCAATTCCATGGGCCACACACATAGTATAAAATCACAGCAGCTGAATTCGTTCCCTCTGCTGAAGTTCTGCTTCCAGATAAGGTGAAGCAGGTGGTAGAGCTGAGTCCTCTGATGTTCCCTTTGAGACAGCCCTTTGTGAGAAAGTTTGAAGGATGTCTCCGTACCACATCCCTCTGGTAAAAATGCTGATGTGCAAGGTGAAGACTACTACACTTTGTTTGACAAGTATTAGCTCTCCTTCAGAAAGCCCAAAAGTGCAAAGTAAGTTGAGGGACAAAATTTACAGAAATGAGAATAGAAATGTCTCTAGTGCTTTGACTTAGTTACCTCTGGATCATAAAGTCCAAAACTCATGTCCTGTATGAAAAATTGGTCTCCTCTCTGTTTTGAGCACTACAGTACAAAAAGCTCCTGGATGTAGAAAATATAATACAAAACTGAGTGTCCCTCTGCCTAATTCTGGCTTTTTACAGGGAAATTTTTTGCAGCCTTCCAGTACCTGAAGGGGCCTACAAGGAAGCTGAGGGGGTACTTTTTACAAGGGCCTGTAGGAAAAGGACAAGGGGTAACGGGTTTAAATTGAAAGTGGGGAGATTTAGATTAGATATCAGGAAGAAATTCTTCATGGAGAGGGTGGTGAAGCACTGGAACAGGTTGCTCAGGGAAGCTGTGGATGCCCCATCCCTGGAAGTGTTCAAGGCCAGGCTGGATGAGGCTTTGGGGAACCCGGGCCTGGCTAGTGGAATGCCTGCCTATGGCAGGGAGGTTGGAACTAGATGATCTTTAAGGTCCCTTCCAACCCAAACCATCCTATGGTTCTATGAAATAAAATGCTCTGCTTGCAGGAGCTTAGCTGAAAAATCCAGTGCTGGAGTTCCTCATCTCTTCCTCTTTACAGTAGTTTTTGTATCATTAATAGGTCGGTGGTTTTCACTGACTGCACTCAAAGTAGCAAATATGCTTCTGGAAAGTAATGCATTGCCTTGTGCATCAGTTACAGAAGATGCTTCTGAGTTATTTTTGTGAACTGTGTGTCATGTATGATGTACGAGGCTCTTGTTGGCTTTAAAAAGTTTTCACTGAGCTTAGCCCAATATTGCAGAAACTCCATACCACTTACAGTGGTGTTACTGGTCTGTCTTTGACCTTGAGCTGATATTTCTTTCCTTTTTGCTGAATTGCAGGGGGAGCCAGGTGCGACAGGTCCAGCTGGACGTGAGGGGCCACCAGGGAAGGATGTAAGTGTACCATTTTAAGCAGAAACTAATTTCCTGCTGCCTGACAAATGAAGATTTTCATTCACAGTGACCCTGTCCTAAAACAGCTGCAGAAACTGCAATAAAGAGTGAATTACTGCAGCAGTGGATGGGGAATGATTTGTGCAAAGATCATTAGGGTAACAAAGAATTTGAGGGCCTTTGTCACTGCTTAGCTGCTGACACTTAAAATGAGTATCTTTGGGAAAGCAGAGAAAACTGCATTGTTTGAATCCCAGGATGTGCTGCGTAGCCACGGACCTGATTTCTGTCACCCCTCTCTGAGCGGTGCTTCGTTCTGCAGGTCCCACTGGGCCAGGTTTTGTCACGCTTCCTCTGCAAAATTTGTACCTTACTGAGTGTGTAGCTCCGCTGAAGTCTATGAAATACCTATGGAATAAGATGATGCTGCTCAGAGGAAAGAAAGATGGTACAAACAGATCCTTTGACATTATTAGTGTCAAATGCAGTCACGTAACAAAGTCCTGGGAGAGTGCAGCTGGCGTGGGATCCTGCAGCAGCTGCTAAGCAATGTACCGAGTGGCTGATGTGCCACTGCCACAGGACTTGGGGAAGTGGTTTCTCATTTGCATCCCCTTGTATCACTGGAAAACTGTTGTGCTGTAAGTGGTACTAGACAAAGTAAAATGGAAGACAGACCTAAGGGAAGCCCTCAGAGAAGATAGAAGCAGGTCTTAAGCCTCCCTCAAGAAAGACCAAAGTAGTAAATTCTTGAGAAATACTAGAGCATCTCTGTTCCTGAGTGTGCTGGTTTTGGCTAAAATAGAGTTAATTTTCTTCATAGTAGCTAGTATGAGGCTATGTTTCAGATTTGTGTTGAGAAGAATGTCAATAACACTGATGTTTTAGTTGTTGCTAAGCAATGTTTACATTAAGCCAAGGACTTTTTCTGTTTCTCATACTGCCTCTGTTCTCTCAGATTCTTGTAGAGAAGCTAGGAGGAGATGTAGCCAGAAAGCTGACCCAAACTAACCAAAGGGATATTTCATGACATAAGGTGTCATGCTCACTATATAAGCTGAGGGGAGTTGGCTGGGGGGTGATTGCTACTCAGGGATGAGCTACTGATCACTGGGTGGTGAGCAATTGTTGCATTGTTCACCACTTGGTTTTGTATATTCCTTTGCCTGTATTGTCCGATTAAACTATTTTTATCTCAACCCACTAGTTCATTGTTCCAGAATCTCTCCCCCATCCCAAGGGGGGGGAGGGGGTGGGGTGAGCTAGCGACTGTGTGCTGCTTAGTTGTTGGCTGGGGCTAAACCACGACACTGAGAAATCCAGCTTAAAGATTATCTGATAATCATGGTTTCTGCCTGTAATCAGACTGCATTTAGTGGTAGATATTTAAAATCGAAAAGGTTGGTCTTCCTCATACATACCTGGAAGAGGATAGGGATGGTTCTTTAACGCTGTTTCCACCTAATGTGTGAACTGTGTAATTTGGTAGGAACAGTTTTAAATGCTTGTTTGCTTGCCTCCGTGGCAGATCTTCCTCACACACCATAATACGTTTCTTCATTTCAGGGTGATACTGGCCCCATAGGACCTCAGGGCCCTCGAGGACTCAGAGGGCAGCCGGTGAGTTTTCTCTCCTGACAAAGCCATTTCTGGAGGTACCCTGTGTATAGTGGGAATGTCCTGCGGACCAGAAGTCTGTTGTGGAAGAAGAGTCTTAAGCAAGATTCAGATGATGTTTGATTAAAACACTTTGCCTACTGTGAGAACGACAAATCAGCATGATGCTGCTAGAAACTGATGAAGGCTCATAATAGTGCGATGGAGTGATGGTTGCTGACTTGGTGGGAAGAGTAGTTTAGTGGAATATGCCAGGACTGCAGTGTCAGAAGGGCTCATATTCCACTCCTGCCTCTGCCATCTCACTCGCTTCTCACATGTCCTCAGGTTTCAAAGACAGACACTAATTGCGGGTGCCCAGTTTGAGATATGTGGGGTCTAGTTGTGATACTATTCATTTTTGTCATGTTCTCTGTAATTTTTTCTGAAAAAAACCCCCGTAATTTTAAGAAAAGGTTTGTTTAATTGAACACCTGTAGAGTTTTATTACGACGTCAGTGGAGAAATGGCCATTTAGTTGACATTTCAGAAAGTGCCATTTGGGATGGCTGAGAAATTACTTTTATTAATTTCATGGGGTTTCCAATCTTCTCTTAAAAATCAACCTTTTCCAAATTTGAATGCAGGTCTCTGTTGCTGAACCTAGGCACATCTTTAATAAGTTGCAGTGAATGATTTCTTTTCCTTTTCAGAAGACTTGCTAGTGAATCAGATTCTACAACATGTTCCATAATCAGGGCAAAATGCTGATTCAGCCAGCAATGCCACAGACTGGAGCAGCAGGTCCCTCTGTGCTGGGAGGGTTGGGGTTTAAAAATTAGGCTGCAGGAACATATGGAGAGCTCCTTGTGTCTACCTTGTAATTTATCTCATTATTCCTGTACTGCTGGCATCATTCACTAACATGTCATGCCCCCGCACAACATTAGCAATGAATAAGAAGATTTGAGGGGACAGAACTTATCATAACTCCAGGCCATATTCTTCTTTGGAGAAGGGCAACTTAGAGTTTTGTATGTTGGAGGGAAAAGTATCAGTTTCTCTTGTTCTTCCTCTGCTTTTTTTCTTCTCTAAAAAGGAATGTGAGATATGATTTTGAATATTGCCAGTAAAATGGTTGGTCTTTATGATCAACTCCAATGCAGGGGAAAACATCTCTGCATGGTGAGTCAAGGGGAGAGAGAAGCAGGGTGTAGAATTTCATCTCACCAAACTTTTAACAGTGTAGATGGTCATCTCAGCTGCTTTGATAAGGAATGGTGAGAAATTGGTCCTTTTAAAGGATAATTTGGCTCATTCTTGAGTTGTCTGGTGTCAGGCAAGTATGAAATGCCTCAAGGCTTTAGAATAAGTGTTTCTCTCCCTTCCCCAAAAGGGAATCCAAGAAGATTAAAAAATAGATGCTTGGTCTCTGGACCGTGTTTCGGTTAATGGCCCTGAGAAGAGGATGGTAGGCAGTAATTTGCAGGACATAGTCACTAAAGAGATGAAGTTTTCTAAAAGACTAAGATGTGGGAGGATCTGGAGATATCTATCGGCTAGTGCAGAGCTCTTTAACATTGATCAGTGAGTTACCAAGAGGTGTTTCAAGGTGCATCCCCCCTTCATGGATGAAAGGGGCTTCTCTGAACACTGGTGACTTGGAGTAGCCACAGTAGGTGGCTCCATGTGTCCAGGAAGATGCTGTATATGATAGGGATAAGGGTGAAGAAAAGAAGGAGGAAAAGGAGTGCTGTTTTGGTCCTCCTCAGACTAGGGGATTTTGGGTACACATCTTTCAAGTTTTGGCTTGAGATGGGATCTGCCATGCAATCAGGGATGAAGAACTTGTAGCGTCAAGTGCAGTGGAAGTAAGAGATCCTTACCCTGCAGTCTGCCAAGAGAGTGGGTTGGACAATGCTAAAGAAATCCCTTCTTTGGTAGCAGTAGGTGGACAATTTAATTGTAGTATACACTATTCATTAACCTTTTTCCTTTTGACACAGGGCAAGAATGGATCACCTGGATCTGCAGGAGAACCTGGCCCAGCAGGTAACCCAGTAAGTACCATGAAGGGAAACTCATGCAGCAAGCAGTTGGGTCAAGGAGAGGTGACTGAAGTGTAGATGGAGTGGATTATATGTAGCTGCTTACCATCCCTGGAGCTGCCATGTCCGAAGATCGGTAATCTGAAAATCACTGTCTGGCCACAACACTGGAGAGGGTTTGGCTACGTTTCTGGAATTGAGCTTTTAGCTGGGTCATCATTTTTTCCCATCAAAAGTTAAGTGTTCACAGAAAAAGGAAATGATTGACTATGTAGTATGGAAAAAAGATTGGCATGCCTCATCTTTGCCGGTAGATTTAATTTTGCCAAGCAGAGACTGTGCAGCCAGCAGAGAATTGTCACAAAGAAGGAGAGGACCTCAGGGAGTTGGCAGACTGCCACCGAGGAATAGCAGCAGCAGAAAAATTCTCTCCAGGCACTTGGGGAAAGAGCAAACAGTGGGCAGTAAACCAAGATCACGAAGCAGAATGAAATCCCCTTGGGGCCATCCTGTGCAGAAGAACAGCATGGTAATGAAGAGCTGTAAGGAGGACAGTGAGGAGTTGTGGGGTTTGTTGTTGTTGGTTTTTTTTTTTCTCTCTGTTCTGCTTCTGCAAATTGTTCAGGGCTCAGCAAATCCATGCAGATGTACCTTTGTGTCCAGTAGCACCTATTACAATGCACGACTCTTCCCTCTTTGTCCAGCTAGACATTATAGCTTGCTGGGCTCTTCGATTTAGATAGAAACAAAGGCATAGCAAGAGAATCTGAAAAACTGCAGCAGAACTGCACTCTGTAACCCCTGCAGTGCTATAAAGCAACCTCAGCCTTGCCACAGTCGTGTGCCCTGAGCACATGTTGCTGCAGGTATGTCTCCTCCTAAGTAGTCTCAGTGAAGGAAGTAGCACCTTTTTTCTTCATGGGGAGGTGAAAACTCACAGATTACAGGTTGGGTAGGCGTGTTGCAGTCTTTCAGCCTTTCTGCAGCCAAGACTTAGTGCTGCTGCTTTTTTCCACTTGACATAAATTCTTCTTACCTTCCTGGGACCACTGCCACTGCTTCTTACTCCATGTACCTGCTGTTGCCTTTTCAACCTTCATTTCTTCTCATTACACCTACCCCTGCTCCCAGTTCCTGTTATTGCTTTTTGGCTCTCTGTGTCTTCACCAGGCCACTGTGGCTTTGGGATGCTCTGTGAGTGCCAAAAAGGGGTTATTTTTTAATCACCATCATGTTATCACATTACCTGGACCGTCAGCTAGTGTCCCAGGCACTCACCAGGTAGCTTCCTGCACAAACACAGAACTACAGCTGTCTCTGCTCCAGAGGATTTAGAGTCCAAAAATAACGTAAGAGATTGAAAAAGGATAAAGTCAGTCGGTTGAGAACAGGGAAACAATGAGGCAGTGTTGGTCAGCAGAACATACTGTCATTTCATCAGTATCCTTCTCTGTCATTAAAATGAATCCTCTCCCTTTCATAAAGGTTATTATGGGAAGTATTTCCTTGTGCTATACACAAGTCCATTTATATTCAGCCTTGTCTGGAAACGTGCTAATTTCCTTCACAATGTGGTGTGACAAGCCAATAGATTACATTTCTATTTTGAAAAAAAAGAGAAGCAAGAAAGGTTATCGTGGCAATAAGGGTCACCTTCACCATCGCTGACTTGTAATCACAAGGTAAAACCTCTCAGGACCCTTCTCCTTTTGCATCTGCTGTTTGACAGTGCCCATTGCACTTCACAGTGCTCGTGCTCAAGCCTGCGCACAGCAATGCAGCCCAGCTCCTGAATCTCCAGGGCTGACTGCTTACCCAAAAGCCATGTGCTTTGTGCCTGTCAGGTTCGTTGGTGCTCATGTTACACAAGATGAGCTTAAAATGAAGACAGGTTTTAGTCTAAGAAGGTAAAGGGATATGTTCTGGATTAGAAGGTAGGGGACAAAGTTGTGAAAGACGGGGTTAAAATAGGAGTGAAAAAAGAATCAGAAGTGTATGTGAAATGGCTCTGTATCGTGAACTGCCGTTTAAGCTGCCCTGATGTGTAAGAAAAAGGGATAGTTTGGCAGAATATCACAGAAGATAAGGAAAAGGCAGACATGTTTTAAATTGCACCTAGAAATAAAGGCAAAGGAGCAACTCAGTAGCTGTCTGTTGACTGTATTCTCAGGTTTGAGCAGCGTGGCCATCTGCACTGTTTCCCTGTTGTTGCACATCACTGTGTTTCCACTCTGCAACACCACCTTATAAGCCATGCAGCGCCAGAATAGCCACTGAACAGACCTCCTGTCACTTCCATAATTGTCACTTCCTTTTCATCTTTCCACAGGGGCCCCACATAGCTTATAAATAATGCAAACATGGTGTTTGCAATCTGCTTTTCTAAATGACTTTGTTCTTCCTTTCCTTGTCAGTTCTGGGAGTCCTGCTGCTAAAGTGAAATTTCCCAGTCCAATGTATCTGTAAATGCATGCTCTGGGAAGGATATTTTGGAGAAGGGGCTACTAGTGTCTGTCTCATTTCTGTCCTAAGGGTCCTAAAGGAAATAAAGGAGAAAGTGGCAGCCCAGGACTCCCTGGCTTCATAGGACCCCGAGGACCCCCTGTAAGTATGCATGGGAATGGATTAGACCCACTCATTGCCTGCTTTTAAATGTTAGACTGATGAAGGTGGGACATCATAGTCATCTTTAACTGTGTAAAAAACAGAGTGAGGAAATCTGACAGATCCAGAAACCAAACTCTTTACATCTAAAGGAAACTGGACTGCAAAAATAGTATTTTTCTTATGGATGAACATCCATAATCTCATTTATTGAACTGGTACCTGTCAGTCAGCCCTAATAATGTGTGCATGGATCAGATGGATCAGTAGTCTTCCTAATATGGGTATGGGGTGTGTAGGTTACTCAGGCTATATCTCTGCATGAATCCCAAAAGGAATAAATAGGGAAATTTTAAATGCTGATAATAATACAGGTATTTTGCCAGCAACAGAAGTATATCACAATTAAAGCATTCATATACACCCCAAAGTGGTCTAAAACAATACCTACACACATAAAAATATCATAGCCTTGAAATCAAATATTTTTAGCCCTTCTAAGCCAAGTAAAACATGTTACATTCCATTGGAAAGATGGAACAGATGAATGTTAGGTAAATACTTTTGTTTCTGGCTCTGCTGTGACTTAAAGTGAGATTTAAAAGGTTTTCATTTGAATTAGCAGAGCTGAATCTTTCACTGGATGATTCTTTATTTCTTCCTTATTTTTATGATTAGAAAGGGAGTTTTGTGATGAAGAAACACTTCTCTGGAAAATTAATTTAAAACAGCAATTAAAACGTGGTGGCCATTTAAAACTGAAATGGCCCTAAGGAATACTTGAGTGAGTCTGATGCTGCCTAATTTGGAGCTGACGTAATCACACATCTGTGATTAGTTACTTTGCTCATGCATACATGGATGTATGCTAGCACTGTCAAAGCTGTTATATTCCTTTCCAGGTTGTGGGAAAAACACCACCTGCTTGCACACATTATAGATACGATCACGTGTGTGGATTGTAACTGGAATATAAAGATGAATCTTACCATTGATTATATGGGAAACAGGGCAGAATTTTAGCAGTAACTTGTTTAATGTTTTCTTTGCTTTATCCATGCACTTCAGAACTGCAGTATTTATTTTTTTTAACTGAAATGCTAAAATGCAAAGACTGTATTGCCTGTTTATCACATTATAAATGTAGAGTATAGAGAAAAAATCCTAACAGCGTGCTTGTTTAAACTGACGCTATTTGATATTGGGAGGTTGACTAAACCTTCCAGCCCAAACCATTCTATGATATAATTCTGAAACACAAGCAAGCTTCTAGGCTCAAACTTGCTTTATCACTGGCTCTCTATCCATTATCTCAGCTGGTGTCATACAAAATGGTACCTCTTCTTACAAAATTTACTTCCTTTACATCTTTAGACTGTTAGGGCTGTAACATTAGCACTGCTTAAACTAAACCAGCCCAAGTGAAATGTACAAAGCGTTGTGAAACGTCTGTAAGAAAAATGAATAAAATGTGTTGAAAGCAGGAACACACTTTCAGTGAAACATCTGTCCTGATCTCGGCTGGTTCGGTAGAAATTACTTCCTTTTTTATTTACAAACACATACATGGTAGGCAGCTTTACTAAAAACTGCTTTCTAAATGGTAGGATGTGTCTTTCCAGGAATAACCTATAGTAGTAGGATAAGGATAAATTGTGCAAACCCACTGCTGTGTAGCAGAAAACTTGGACTCTTAACAGAAAGCAAGACTTGTGGTCGTTAGGTAAGGTCTTTCTTCCAACTTGCAGTGTGGTGCTAAATTTACTCTCTGTATCTCTCAGGGAGAACCCGGAGAGAAAGGTCCTCCCGGAAAAGAGGTAAGTTATATTCCCGGTTCTTATAAAGTAAGCCTGGTGTCTTGGGGGAAAAAAACCCCAAAAAAACATTCAAGGTTGCTGCATGCGTTTCTATAAACTGATTTTTTTATTGAATTGCTGATATTTGAGAGCAAACAGGGAGCTCTCAGGAACCTGTGAGACTGACAGGGAAAGAAATTTTTCCCAGGTCATAAGAATCATTGCAAAGGCATGCACTTTCTTATTTGCTGTTATTATGGATAGCTGTTTCATGCTCACCCTTATTTTGTTGCAGGGTGCACCAGGGAAACCAGGTGAAATTGGCTCCAAAGGAGAGAGGGTAGGTTGGAGAATATTATTACTTATTTCATTACATTGAAATAAAGAGAGCTATTTTGAGTTAAGGGTCGAGGAAAGGGTCATTCAAGAGAGAAGCATGGCCTGTAGAGATCTGCTGTGCTCCCCACCCTCCCAGCCCTCTATTTAATCATTCTCCGTCAGTAATAATTCGTGGGCCATTTGTAATGCACCAGATGTTGTAGTGAGTAACTCTGCCAGCTCAGCTGTTTCTGTTTCACTGTGCTTGGAAATCAGAAGTTTGCCTCTTATTTTGTGTTGGCATTTTTTTTTTTTTTTCTCCACTTAGGGGGAACCTGGCATCAAAGGCGAAAAAGGCCCTCCTGGAGAAAAGGGCCCTCCAGGTGATCCTGGGATACCTGGTCATAAAGGCCATCCAGGACTGATGGGTCCTCATGGCCCCCCAGGAGACACTGGGCAAGTTGGACCTCCCGGTCCCCCAGGACAGCCAGGATTTCCAGGACCAAGGGTAAGACTGCCATAGAAAGGCTTTCTACAGTCATTTTACTGCCGCAATGTGTGATCAGTAAAGTTCCTAAGATAACAGTAAGGCTGACAGAAGCCAAAGCAAGTGTGTGTTATAATGGGGAGGCAGTGTTTTTATCTCTTGATACATAAGAAAGAGAGCTATAGCATACGTCAGGGGTGTGTTGTGGGAGTGTTGGGTTGAATTTCAGGAGAGCTGAGCAGTCCGGACTTACAGCCAGGGCAGCCAGTCCTTAACACCTTGTAACCCCAAAAAGCCTAAATCAGGTCATGACTATGGCCCTGGCTCTGGAGTCTGAAGAAGCTTCTTTCTGTAAGGATCTTAATGCGTAGCATTTCATATGGAGGTTTTATGCCTTCGTCTGCTGCAGGTTGTTTTGAGAGACAGAATGCTGAGCCGTGGAAAGGTCACTGCTGTATTCCTGGAAATCCTGGAGTCAGCTCATCAGAATTCATTAAATCCTATTTTTGTTTAATATTCTCTTTTTTTTTTTTTTCCCTAACGGGAAACAATCTCACTGCTGAGAGTGCCGGCGGGTAATGTATGTAGAAGAATGAGAAAAACTACCAACACTAGTGAAGCCGCTATGCCCGTCCTGAGGATGAATTTGACATTACCTCAGAGCGGAATAAACAGTGAAATAATCTCTGATGTAAAAGCTGGATAAATTTTAGACAAAAAATTTCTGAGTGTGTCTCAGCAGCATAGAGATTATGGAGCGTTAAAGCTTGGAAAGATAATTTCTAAGCCTTCAAAGTACGTTCCACCATCATGTTTACTTACATCACAAATGGTTAGTAGCAATGACATATTTGTTTCTTTTGTCACCAATAAACATGTCTTTTTCACATGCAAAATTTGTGTTGAGAAGAAGGCAGCAAATGGACCAACTCTGTACTTGCTAGCAATGTTATTGATTAAAATTGAAATGTCTCTTAACTATTTAATAAAATCTACATTTCTTAATGAAGAATAACTTCTGATTCAGAAGACCTCACAAGGTTTTTGTAAACGCAGAGGACAGACTGTATCCTTGTATGTTTAAATATTGGTGTGAGGGAAAAGCAACACTTTCATGCAAATAGTTCATACATAAAAGAATTTAGTCTTTAGGTTGACCAGAAGTATTTTCAAAACTGGCAGGAATTCAAAGGGTAATTTTAGCAAAAAAATGAAGTGTATTTCAAGTGAAGCATCTCACTTTGATTTACAAGGAAAATATTTGGTCGTGGTTCAAAATGATGTTTTTTGAGATACAGCTACGTTTTTTCTTTTGACTTTATGCAAAGACAAGAATCTGGTTAACCTAAACCCCCTTATTTTTTATCTTCATGGAAAGCCACAGCCTAAAAATGCTTTCATCATTTTTTCAGTTGCATCATCCTGAGCTGTTGTTCACATAACTTTGAGTTTTGACAGCTATTACAGCTGTTCAACAGCAATGCCACACAGAAGAGTTGAGAGAGGAGATGAAAGATACTGTCCCTTGGAGGCTGGGTAGGAAACCAAAGCCAGGCAGCCACATCCCCTGTCTCCCTTCAGCAGCCTGAAATCAGGCAGAACATTATCCTCATTTGGAAGAATGGGTATCATATATGTAAACTAGCTTCTGTTTCCAGAGATAAGACGTGCTGGCAGGCGATGCATCCAGTATGAGTGTTTATAGCAAGTCTAGATACCCACCTTAACGGCCCTGGGGCATGCCTGCTTCCCTCTGCAGGGAAACATGCAGTGCTGAAAAAGGAGGTAGGCTTCCCACAATGGTCTAGTAGGGCAGAGGCTGTCTCCTGATTTGGTTTCTACTACTTTGCCTGCGAGTGTATAGGAGAGAGATTTTCTCTAGAAGACAGGGACAGAGTACTATGCCTTCTGTCCAGGCTCCCTGCTTACACGGTTGAGCCCATGGCTTGCCAGCAGGTTGGGAATTGTTTTGTGTCCCTTTACATTCTTCTTCCATGCAGGCCCTGCAGTCCTGTGTGTGCAGTGGGTGATGAAATGCAACCTACCAAACCCTTTGTGGAGGGATTGCACATCCCCTGGGTGTGATTACTATGTCTCACTACTCCTGTGATTATTACTCTCCAGGGGGAACCCCCATCTCTAGAGACTTTGAGAAGACTCATCCAAGAGGAGTTAGACAAGCAGCTAGATGGTAAGTTAACAGCTCTGGGAAGCCAGTAAATATATCTGAGAGTAGGAAGGAACTATGGATAGCTGTAGTGGTGTGGCATGCCACTTCCCATAGCTGTGGTACCCTAACCTCTACCGCTTACAGAAAGCAATGCAGTGACAAACCTGTATGGAAAGAGGAGTGTGTAAAATGAAATGTGCTTAGCAATCTTTACTGTCCCCCAGGCTTTGTGCTCCCAGCAATATTACAAGGGCTTTCTCCCTTCTTCAACCAAAGGCCATTGCCTGTGCTAATCACCTCGTGGTGTTTTGCTACCAAAAGAGCTTTGCTGCAGACTCATTCCTGCAGATGCCTGAGCTGAGATCACAGGACAAGAGAAGATACAAATTAAACCAGATACGAATCTGGGGTCCTGGAAGAAAAAGTAATCAGAGTGGGATGTAAACTTGCTTTTGAAGTTGGCAGCTGGAGGAGAAGTGTTCCTGATTTCTGGCTGTTACATTTAATACTCATCAGCATGAGAAGGGGGTGTGCAGTAGATGTGATCTGCTTCTTCTCTCAAAGTACGTGAATGGCAGATCACTACTGACCCCATCTACAATGAAATGTTGAGCTGTATTGCTGTTCTCGCACAGCTCTTGGAGTAGCTGAAATGTAGCTATGCTCATTTTCCTGAGGTTAAAGAACATGGTTCAGCGGAATGATTTATGTGAAGGATGTTATTTACACACTCTCAGACTTCAAATTCCATGCCGATCTAAAAGCATTCAAGATTTTAGATCAATGAAGAGAAGATAGAAAACCCTTTTTTCTCCATTCTGTAGGGTGTTTTTGTGATGCTGAGTATGTCTTAAGAGCTTGCTATGCTGCTCATGGTCTGATTCTGGAAGGCGCAAGCAATATGCCTGCATGGATACTGGAGAATATGCTGACACAGGGCGCTGCCTTAGTTACATTTTCTAACTTCACACCCAGAAATGAGGACATAAGCTTTAACTCCACATGTGTAACAGCCCAGAACAGGAAAAGTAAGCTTTCTCCCTACAGAGCAGCCATGTAATACCTCGCTCTGTGCAGCAAAGTAGAAATTGGCTCTTCTTTTTTGAGCAGCAGTTTGACAAACATCCACAGCAGCTTAGCTAAGGGAAAGGACATTTCAGATCTTTGGTGGACAAGGAGCAGAGAATGAGAGAGGTGTTTAGAATTAAGTAGGAAATTTAGGAGAGGTTTCTCACTAAGAAGTGAGATTTAAATAATCTAGAGAGGGTCAAGGAGACACTGCCATGGCTTATGAGAAAGGATTGCAAGGGGACAACAAATGGGTGGCCCTGAAAAGTTGATATTTGACAATACTTGGACTTTACTGGGCCACTGGTTCTGACTCTCCATGTCTTGGAGCACTGACCTTCTAGTTTAACAAATCCATTTCCCTCTCTTCACAGCAAAGTTAGCCTATCTCCTGGCTCAGATACAGCCTGCACAAGTAAAAGCATCCCATGGCAGACCAGGTCCTCCTGGTCCTCCTGGGAAGGAAGGACTCCCAGGAAGAGCTGGCCCTCCGGGAGAGCCTGGCCGGCCTGGCCAGCCTGGGTCTGAAGGGGCAGCTGGACCAATTGGTCCCAAAGGTGAGTGAAACTTGGTGTGTTTGCAAAGTCCAGTAAAGTAGTGTCCCCACCACATTTTGTCATCCACCTCTCCTCTTAGTAGCATCGAAGTGGTCCTTAAAATGCATGTGTTAGAAGTAGCCTCAGTCTGCTGAAAACCAGCAATTGCTCATGTGCTCCATGTCTGTCCAGGGTTGGAGTGGAGTGAGTTTTCATTCTCACTTAATGTCTCATCTCAGAGGATTGGCCACAATTAGGAACTATTTTTAGCAAATATATTGGCTTTAGTTTGGATGGAATATGTATGGTAGTATTCTTTAGTTCTGTAGATCATACCAGTTCATTATTTTTCTTTCCCTCTTTACAGGAGAAAGAGGATCAAAGGGTGAGAAAGGAGATACTGGCATTGGCCAACGAGGGGAGATAGGTCCTCCTGGAATTCCAGGTATGTTTGTTCAGAATGTCCCACAAAACACATAATTCACAACTGCTACAAGGACAGAGGTCTCTGCCATATTAGATAGATGATCAGGATAACATAAATATGGCATACACAGTTTCAGTAGAAATTGGCCCAAAGGGAAAAAATGTATCACTTGGCATCATATCTGACCACCTTTATTTCCTCAGCCTGATTGACAGGTATAATGATCGGTCTCAGTAACAACTAGGTGAACTGACCTTTGGGATGAATCTAAACTAAAGCTTTAATTACTAGATACACAGTGAAGTGCCTTATCTGCCCTTGCCAGAATCTTATTGTGACCAAGCTGAACCCAGAAACCCAGGTAGCTTCAGTTGTTGTAAAAGGTTATATCCAAAACCTGTGCCTCAGGCATACAGCTTGTGCTTTACATTTGCTGACAAAGGAGCAGCAAATATATTTTGTTTCTAATTTGAAATTAGGAGACATTGATCCATTTTGCCTACACCCTGCTTTGCTGGGTAAGAAAACTATGGGAAGCCTTCATAACTGCATTTGGCATACTGGCCCTGCATTGCCTTAAACCAACAATGGACCCACTACGCTTTGTATAAATGAGTTATCTCCTGAAGTTGGGTCTTGCCTCAAGCTTTCCCATCCTCACCTTCTCTCTGGGAGGACTATATGTCATTAGCTGGCTTGTGCAGCTGCACAACTTCAGTGACCTGGTGACAGAGGAAGAACAGCAATAACACAGTTCTGCAGCCCAAGGGTATCCTAGGGGGTGAGAAATTTTGCATTTATAAGACACATTTGCCACATCCTTGTAGTTATATTCCACCCAGACTCCAGTCTGTGGAAGCTGATGTTTGCCTCCAGGTTGGCAGCAAAGCCATCTCCTGTGATGTTGCATTGCTGAGTCCTGCACCTGGGAGTGCCGCTCACCAAGGGTGGTTTTGTTTTTCTTTTAGGCCTCCCAGGGGAGCCTGGCTATGCCAAAGATGGGATGCCAGGACCACCTGGCCCTCAAGGCGAAGCTGGGGTACCTGGTCTCATGGGCCCGCAGGGACCTCCGGGAGCCAATGGACAGTGTGACCCCACTCAGTGTGCTTACTATGCAAGCCTGGCTGCCAGACCCGCCAACGTCAAAGGGCCCTAGCACACAGGGAGTATCCCCAGACTTGTTTTTAAAACTTGAATTCATCACGCCAGCCGAGAGCTCTCAGATGTGTTCAGCTGTGTTTCTTTCATGGGAGGCCTTCTAAAGCCAACAAATGCTGCCGGTCGGTCAGATTATTTTTATGGATTATTATTATTATTATTATTATCTTTGATGTGATATGTCAATTTGTTTTCGTTTTCTCTAACATCAGGGCAAATTAAAACATTAAAAATAATGGTTTTTTCCTCTTTTGAAGAGCATATAATATCAATGCATTGTGTAGATGTTTATGCAAAACCATTCCGATGCCAAAATTTTTGTCTGTTATCTGGTTAATCCTTTCCAAAGCTTTACCCCTCAGCCTGGAAACTGAAATCTAATCCTGCATCCCAGGGCATTAACTTTGAGACAAAGGTTGATTGCAGGATTGTTGGTGCTATTTGCCATCCACATGGAGGGGAGGAAGGCAAAGCCACGCCAAAGCTGAAAAAGAGGTCTCCAGTATGTTCAACCCACACTGGACAGCCAGTGTGTTTCCCCGAAAATGCCTGTTAAATTTAATGTTTTTCTTCCCATAAGGGAATCTGTTTTCTATAGGAATTACTTTTTATGGGACCATGTGGTATCTCACAGTAAGACCTCAGGAGACCATGGAGATGATCTAAATCTTCTCACTGCTCCCTGTGCAAAACCTTCACTACTCAGAGGGTTTGTTCTACAAGATGGAGCTTGTCTTCCTTCCTTCAGGGAGGTTCCTCTGCAAAAATCTTTGATGCTGTCCTCAGCTCAGGGATGCTAAATCCCTACCACTCTTTCACCCAAAAATCAGCCAGAGCAGCACAGAAAATCCCGTTATTAAAAATTTTAGAAAGCCAAGTGTGACCCAACTTCACCATTTTGGATGATCTATTATGAGAAGAACTTGGGAAGGTTGTGTTTTAGAGGGTGGGTGAGAAGTTACAGGCTGGTCTAAGAGGAGATTGATCTCTGATAAAAGGGGCAGAGCAAAGGGGTGTTCAGAAACCTAGAGGAAATTGCGTTTGAGGGGTAAAGCAGAAAGTCAGATGCTGGCCCTATTCCCCTATCAGCTAATTGCCAAAATCAGCCTGTGAATGTAAAGAGAAAGTAAAGAGGGGATGGAGTCTGAAAAAGACCTTCAGAATAGCTCATTTGTGAGGTTAATCCTCTCACCAAGTCATGCCCACCCACAAGGGTGGGGATGTGGGAGGTGATCAGGCCTCAGATATATGTGCCAGCCAACAAAGCACCTGCATTTTCAAAACATTTCTGCTCAAAGTAGTTTGTGGTGAGAGATGGGAGTAATGAACCTGACACAGGCACTAAGTGCTGAATGTGTTTGGAAATCTCAGCAGGTCTTTTGGAGATGGAAAAGAGGCACCCTGCCCTCCTGGCATGTTCACCATATGGCATGGTGCTTCCCAGCTGGCTAAGCTGAGCAGAAGCCACAGCTGTCTATAAGCACCCCAGAATCAGAACCTGAGGCTAAAGCCCAGAGATAGTCATTTGCCAGCCTTGGAGTCTTTTTCTCACCCAGTAGCAGATAAAATTTGCCTCTGTTTTACTGAAAAATGAAATTAAATAACGTGTTCATATGCCAGGGTTAAACAGTCTTTACTGTGTAGCTCTCAGTGGTGCTATTTTTGCTTTTTCATGTGCAAATAAACTCTTTGATTTGATTTTGCTGTGTTTTTTGCTATGGAAAGACCAACCAAAGTAAAAATATCATAAAGTGAAAAGCTCACCACTTTAAAGTAACTCTCAATGGTATATCTGTTACTATTCTGCATTTTAGGTTAGCTTGCTATATTTCAGTATTCAGCAAGTGTGTTGATTGCATTGTATTTAACAGCACCATTTCTCTTAGTCTCTTAGTCTAGGCTGAGATTTCATCTCTCCAGTGGTGAGGTAGAACAGGTATTCTACACAAGAGATACCTCCCAACTTGGCATGAGCTATTGTTTTGGAGAAATGCAATGGCAGTGAGCAGGTTTTATGGAGGTCAGACATGTTATCTGGCCCATGTTAATGTGACATTGGAGAGCCACCCCTGGTCAGCGAGGCTCAGGTTCAGGAACACCTGAGGAACCTGAAGGTGCACAAGTCCATGGGACCCGATGGAATACATCCACACGTCTTGAAAGAACTGGCGGATGCAGTTGCAAAACCTCTCTCCATCATATTTGAAAAGTCATGGTGGTCTGGTGAAGTTCCTGATGCCTGGAAAATGGGAAACATAACCCCCATCTTTAAAAGAGGAAAAAAAGACGACCTGGGAAACTACAGGCCAGTCAGTCTCACCTCTGTGCCTGGCAAGGTCATGGAGCAGATCCTCCTGGAAATCATGCTGAGGCACATGGAGAATGCGGAGGTGATTGGTGACAGCCAGCATGGCTTCACCAAGGGCAGATCGTGCCTGACGAATATGGTGGCTTCTACGATGGGGTCATGACCCTGGTGGATAGAGGACAGGCAACTGATGTCATCTACTTGGACTTGTGCAAAACATTCAATACTGTCCTGCAAGACATCCTTGTCTCGAAACTGGAGAGACATGGATTTGACAGATGGACCACTTGATGGATAAAGAACTGGCTGGATGGCCGCACTCAGAGAGTGGTGGTCAACAGCTCGATGTCCGAGTGGAGTTCGGTGGTGAGCAGCATTCCGCAGGGGTCAGTGTTGGGACCTGTACTGTTTAACATCTTCGTTAGTGACATGGATGATGGTGTTGGGTGCAAGTTTGCTGATGACACCAAGC